TTTTTCCAATTGTAAATAAAGCAGCAATAAACATGGGGGTACAAGTATCTTTTTCAATCAGTGTTTTTGTGTCTTTTGGATAGATACCTAGGAGTGGGATTGCTGGGTTGTAGGGAAGCTCCATGTTCAGCAGTTTGAGGAACCTCCAGACAGTTTTCCATAGTGTTTGTACTAGTTTGCATTCCCACCAGCAGTGCAGGAGAGTTACAAGGAACTATATTTTATTGATGGATTTCTTATAGACAGATCACTTTATGAACATAAATCATGAATCTGTTAGAAATTAGTGCCAGGACTGTGGGAAGCTAAAACCTGGATCAACCCATCAACAGTCTTAAAAACAGGTTGTGTGGTGGCTGCTTACATTTCTTTCATATATAAAATTCACCCCTTACTACACAATTTATCTCATATCACCCTCATTGTTAGAAAGTTACTGTTTGATATACTGAGATAAATAAACATCAACCTTCTTTTAATCTTTTACTTACTGGCACTCATTTTTTTGAGGCACAAAGCAGCTCAAACAAAACAAAGCAACCAACACTCAACCTAACGCTAGTGGGCTTCATCAGTCGCAGCGTTCACTGTGCCCACGTAAGCTTGTGGGCTACCCCACGCGGGCAACATGCTTATTTCCAAATATGTCCCTGCCATGGTATTTTTCATTGGGTCCAAACCTTCAGATGCTGTTTGATTAGAGTGCAGAGCTTTTCTCCAGTGATCCAGGAATCACACATTTTCCATACATTGTAAGGTCGGATTACATAGTACTGAAAGAACTTTGCTTTCCTTAAATGGTAAAAAATGGAATAAGGGCCAAAACATCATGAACTCTTCAGCATATATGATTAACGAGGGCAGTAGGCATCATGTTCTCAACACAAACCTTAAGTCCAAATGAATTATAAACTTCCAAATTGAAAAAGCAGGTCTCTAATCGAGTATCAGCATATGAAAAAGAATTATGCAAGCACCTTACTAAAATCACAAGCCTTTGCTAATTTAAGAATAATTTCAGAAGAATAAAATATGCTTATTACCTTCTTGAGTTAAGTAATGCATGTTCTTTGCAATTACAGCACTCTTATCTTGTGAATCCAAGAAAAAGAAAGTAGAGAAATCTTCAACATCGGCAGTTACTGAAAATTTTCATATTAAATGTTAAATAACAAATTAACAAAATATTCACAACTCAATAAACATTGTAGAAAAATATATGGGAAGATTATTTTACCTGATGTCGATATTAAATTAAGGTACTGCAATTTAGTATGCAAAATCAAAGGATTTAGGCGGGGTACGACATTATTCTTCTCCATAAGGAAATCAATTGCTCTTGTTTTATCATTTAATGTGCCCTAAAATAACAAAAATGGTTATCTAGGTAATGTAGATAACTTATCTGCTTATGTTTTAGAGTTATGTAGAGAATGCTTCAAGGTTACTTAATCAAAAATTTAGGATTTACATTTTAGGATTCTCTAAACTTTCCTCTAAGAAATCTGAATATTCATTCAAACTAAGTTAATATGAGATATAAATTACACGCAGAAAATTATATAATTACTTTTTAAATCACTTCTAAATGATCAGCATGTATTTTTTAAAATTAACTTGCTATTAAACGTTTTTAACACAAAAGTCCTTTATCAATATTATCTGTCATATATTTTCTCATAAATCTTACCTACCATAATAACATCCCTTTGTAAATATACTGTAGTATCTATCATTCTGTGAAGAACAGCCATTTCCAGTTCTTCAGTATTCAGTTCTTCATGGTTAAATAATTCACCATTATAAAGAGCTTGAGGCAAAGGACCCAGGCCAGTCATTTTATAAAAATTTGCTCCTGCCTATTCAATCAAAAAAGACCAGACAGTAAAAGAGAGTAAGAGGCTAGCTGAAAAAAAAAAAAAAAAACCTCAAGAAATGCACGGTACCACATTTTAGATACCACAGAAAAAAGGTTAATTTTACTGATTTCTGCCCTTTCCAAACATATCTCAAAGGATTACTGAGAGAGGGAATCAGGAAATGTCCTGGAAAGACTCAGACACTACATGGTTTAGGTTCTGTGGGCCAGTCTCTGTGGTGACTTCTCAAGTGATGTCACAGCACGAGAATCCCCAACACAGCACACAGATAAGGACACAGCTATGTTCTCCAAGGCGCGTGCGCACAGACCCAGGCAGTGGGGAAGCACAGCTGGCCTGGTGTCTGCAGTTTCTGACATCTGAAATAGCACTTTTTAAATGCACTTACCTGTATAAGAGACTCATTCACCCCTGTATTAATTTAATAAACACTTAACTGAATTCATGCCACAGCATTAGGCTACACTTGGGACTAATGAGCTGAAAATTTTTTCTCAAGAAGTTCACAAACATAGAAACAAAATGGAGGCAGGTACCGCTCATGGGAGCCCAGAGAAGAAGTTCAGACCAGGCTTGAGTCTGGGGAGGGAGAGCTGGGAGAAGGCCTCTGTCAGAGTGACACTGACAGTCTCAGAGGATGACTAAAAATTTGTTAGGGAGTTAAAATAGAGAAAAACATTCCAAATGTAGAGAGAGCAGTGGCTTCGTGTGTGTGTGTGTGTGTATGTGTGTGTGTATGTATGTATAAAAGGCAAATCAACCAGCAGAAAATTTTTTACTCTCAAAGAGAATTCTCAATATGCATCTATCACTTATGTCTAAGAGAAAAGGTATTTGCAGAGGGGTTGGTCTTTAAGGAAGGTAAATCTAAATAGAACTTGTGCTCTACAATTTAATAGCAAGCAAAGAAACCATTGTGTTAAATAAAGAGAACAGGAAAGAAGAATAACCACATAATGTATCATATGTGAATATGGCATTACTTCAGGACTCAGCTGGTGTTATAACCCAATGGGCAGAGTTTCTGTTTCCAAACAGTGGAAACCGGCCTCCTCCCCACGGCTTCTCCTGCGGGAGAACTCACAGTCATCACAAGTGTCTGCTCCTCTCCACTGATGGCTCGGGATTCCTCAGGAGTACTTGTAAAACTCAATTTTTTTTCCCATAAATTTCGGCTGTGTCATAAATATCTTGATTAAAAAGGATGTCTTTTTACAAGTTGGGCTAACAGAAAGCTCATCTTTGTTGCAATAATCATAAACTTATGCCTCTCTGGTGGAGCAGGGTTTGAAGTCCTCACACTGTTGCCGGCAGAACTCTCCTGTCTCTCCTGCTGCTCCCTTCAGTCTGTATTTCAATGGAGCCACCTGTGCTGCTCCCCACTGTTTCTGAGAAGCCCTATCACTCCTCACACCTCTGGCCTATAACCAAGATTTCGTATGCAAAAACAGATAAAACGAGATTTGAAAACAACAAAGCCTCCATCAAAAAGTCAATAGTAGCAACTTAGAGACTGCATATAACTCGTGTCACTTAAAAGTTGTAAAAAAGTCTTTCAAATCTTTCTGAGAGTTAACATCCAAATAAGCTAGTTATATTGAGATAATTTATTCATAGTCTATAATAAAATTTTCTTGGCTCATGTTTTGAAAATTTGCATTCAGTCTTACCTGTCTTTCATTATCATATTTGGAATGTATCCCCAAAATATCCCAAATATTAGCATGAGGAAATTTATTTTGGAGGACACTCTTTACATTTTCCACAGTGAGCATATTTTGCTTCTTCACATCTTCATACATCTGTGGAAATTAAGTATAATTAATTTTCATCTTCAACAATAAGTTTTATTTTTTCCCTTAGCAGGTAAACTGAGAAAGCACACATATTTTGTAGATTTAAATCACACCATATAAATACATCTATACCAACACCCCACACATACAAAGAGATTGTTTTAAGCACACAACAGATCACCTATTAAAAATGGCTGTGTGGCTACTTAGCTTTCATATTATGTTTATATTTCATTTTGATCAAACTAGATACTGTGATTCTTAATAATGATTACATTTATTTCAAAAAATGTACAGAATATTTTAAATATAGTATCTGAAAGATGCATTAATTTCATTTCTGATTGCTCTTAGTAAGTATTTTGAATGGATTTTCTCTGTATCACCATTCCTCCCTCCATGTTCTAAGTAGTCCAATAATTTGTTACCCCTTTCCTTTTATGGTGTCATTTCAGCCTTTATTCCAGATGGAACAGGAAATGAACATAACCTATACTGGAGAAGAGCAGCTTCCCTCCCTTCCAGTGTCATTTCCTTCTGTCCCCCAGATACAGGCTCTTCTTGTTAGAGCTTACCAGCCGTTTTTTTCTTGCTGCGGTAAAACTGGCCAACAACACTTTGACTTAGCAGATCTGGTTCACTCCTTGGCGTCTGTTACCACCCCAGCACCCACCATCCAAGCACCCACAATCCTCTCACTCTAGTCCACTGGGATCCCTCTCTCCTTTGTTTCCACTAAATTATCCGAAATTCGTGAAGTTAAGTCAACTGAGGGACACCACACACTCCCAAAAGAATGCTGCCTCAAAATGTTTTACTTCCCCAAATATAACATATATTAAATATAAATATAAATATAAAAAAATAAAAATATGTGGGGGTGACAAGCACACACAGTTTGAAAAACCACCAATATTCTCACATTTCCAACCCCAGTGCATTCTAATATGTGGTTTCTAAATATTCCTCATTTTATAAATATAAATAAAGCCTCATTTTCCTTTCTTCTTCTTCTAGTTGCTTAGCACAACCCACAGGCAATAGTGTATACCTCAAAAGATAAGTGGTTGACAAACATATCATCATGTGCAAATTAATGTCTAATACAAAATGCTTACAGAATAGTCACAGAGATTAGTATGATAACTTAGATGACATCAGAGGTCTTCAAGATTTTACAACAATGTAGTTGGACTTTCATAAAAGACATAAGTCAACCTAACTTCCTTAATCAAATCAGTAAAACTAACAGACTGAGTATTGACACATTCTCTAAGTGACAAAGTGTATGTACCCTAAGTCAGTGAAGTCTAGGGTTTTTTCTATACCCTGGGGTAGTGAATTAATGAGGTACTTAGTGGTTTTCTTGGTAGTTACAGAAAGTTATTAGGAAATTTATACAACTTTGGTAATTTCATACACAGTTTAAAGAATCAGTCTATGTTTGACCAATCAAAAACTAATGGATATAAAGATGAATAAAAGTTATTTTTTGAAGGTATAACCTGAATTTCTTAATAAAACAATGTAATATTTAATACATTTAAATTTCCATGATGAATCATAACAGTTTTGAAAATCTCAATTCTGAAATAATCTTAGCTTTTGTTCGTCTTTAATCTAGTTCTTACCAATTTCTGACTATTTTTTACAGTGTCTTTGTCAGATACAGTATTTCAGTATTTATCTGACCTTTTACTTATGAATTTGCTCTGATGAAATGATATCTTCATTTGAAATTCTCTAGGAAGTGTCTATATGCCTTAGAATATTTAGAATATTTAACTTTACAAAACATTTTTCTATTTATGATTTTATTTAAATCTGTTCAATATTTCTTCTATGATGAAGCATATACTAAATTTTTTTCCCTCTAAACTTACATACATACATTTTGAATTCCTTTATTCATTGGATAAACCTAAGTAAATTTACATATTTGGAAAAGTTTCAGTTGCCTAATTTAAAAAAGGAGGGAAATATGAACTGCAGTTGAGAGTTGCAAGAATCAAATTCATAATAATAATCCCTATGGTAATGTTTATAAACTCTGATGAAATATTATAATAATTGATTATAGTACTACAAAAAAACTATGCATACTGAAGAAATTATATGTAGTGAATACACTCACTTGTACTATGGAAATAAATGCTTGTGATACATCCTGTTTCTCTGTAATATAGTTGAAAGCACGCCAAAGAGCAACTCCAGCATTGTTTGCTCCATCAACTTCATCATCTGTATTAACAATGAACACTAAACCAATTCTAGGGGAAAAGAATGAATAAGGAACATCACAACTACCATTTTAATCACAACAAGACATTTTTTAAAAACATTAGACTATCATATCTAAATGGAGGGAATGTTAGTAAATGGTAGGCAAAGGAATGCTGTTATTTGAAAACATTTCATTTGTAGCATATACATCAAGATACATATACACATCTTTCCATTGATTTGACTCCTCCAAAATGTCAAATTCTCTCTAGTGGTCTGCTGCCCTACCCCCAGAAGGATGGGAGGAAAGTGTATTCTTAACTTGATCCCAGGGAAATGGATCCGTCTTTAAGTACCCAAAGTGATCAAATCATTACTCAGGAAGGTAACAGGGAATACAAGACCACCAAGCAGTTCTGATTAACAGTCTACCAAAAGGTATATGATGCTTCGCAACACATGGCTACATTGCATCACTGCTTTGAGTTCCACATTAGTATTTCGTAATATATAAGTATTCACGGTATGACAATTTAATGTTGTAAATTGACAATTACCTAAGAGGAATTTTATGAAAATAGAAGAGCTTGGCAAGTTTTATATAATCCAAGGCATATTCTTGAACAGGATCAATAAACAGAACCTAAAAAAAAGTAGTCTCTGATCACTATTTTTGTTTTAACAATTTAGAATTATGAAATTCAAGCTTAGTCTAGTATCTGTAGCTAAAAGTATGAAATTCAAGTTACAATTTTTCAAGAAATTTAATATGTATAAGAAAGAATTTCATTTTATGAAGGATTTCTCAAAGCTGCAAACCTAAATATAGTACATGAAATTTATTATAAAATTATTTTCTTTTTGAAGTACAACACAGTAAATATGTTTTTACAAGTGAAATACCTTATTTGTTGAATTTTCTGCTTTAAGTTACTTAAAGTAAGAAACAGAAGATTAAGTTTGACAAAAATAAATAGAATTAATGTAATTACTCCTGGGAAATAAGACTCCTACCTTTTATGTTAAAACAAAAAAGAAAGCCCTGGGAGTTTTTGTTACATTTCAAAGTTCTACAAAGTTGTTCAATATTGTAACAATGAACTAATAAGTTAAATTATAAAGCAGTAATTACACATTCCCTGAACTGTTTGGAAACTCACTGGTTTAGCCGTTCGTTTTATATAATACAGAAGGAAGCAAAGTGTAATCACAAATACCTTTGAGAAAATATAAAAGTAACTCAGTCATGGAACATCGGTATAAATGTGCACGAGGCCTTGTGACAAGGCAGGTTACATGCTGCTGTCGTATCGGGCGCTCAGTCCTGTCACTACCTCTCAAGCCTCCTGCATAGGCAAATCCTTCCTTATTACTCACATGACTGTCAAAAGCAGGGTTAATCCAAAAAGAATGATATGTTTCAAAAAGAGGTATACAAAAAGGCAAGATATAAAACTCACCAAGTTGTGAAAATTACGGCGTATGGAAGGTATGCTCCCAGGGAACACGGGCTTCAGTAGTTCCTGGCAACTGGCAGGCCATGTACCATACATGTGATCACTTTCTAAGTCATTAATCCACTAGAAAAGAATCCGGAAATATGTAAAAACTATGTTAAGATACTTACATACATTATTTCCAAAGTCAAATTTCACTCTATCAAATGTCAAGTGAAAATATGCACAGGATTTTTAATAGTTCTGATACAGGAAGCCAGCTGAAGGTTCTCTACTTTCAATCACATTTTGTGCAACACTTTTATTTTGGCCTATTATATTCAGGCTTCCTTCCAAAACAAATTTTCTCCCATGCTTTTCATAAAATATAAAAATGCATAAAAACGGTGCTCAGTAAACCACTTAAAAACCTATAACCATTTACCTTAATTAGTAATGGTATATGAGGCAGTGAGATCTCTTCATATCCTTCTCAAATTTACAGGCTTGCTCAAGAAAAATGAAACACCGTATAAAAGTAAATTGTAAAAATAGACCTTGGACATTCGATTTTAATAAAAATGGAACAATTTATATCAGACCATTGTTTCATTGCCTGAAACAATGATAAAAGCTGGACAAAACATAAAGCCTAGTGTTCAGAGGCAAGAGACAGGTTGTCAACTAATAATCAAGAACCAAAGATTTGAACCCCTACAAAGGAGGACGTGGCAGATTCCTGGAGGAATGGTGTTCAAGCAGAAAGTGACAGTTATGTTGGATTAGAAAGAAGTCAAAGAGCTGACAACCAGATAGGATTTGAGGGGCAGAAATCCAGGAGAGGAGAAAACTGTGGGGAAGAAACCAAACATCTCCACAACCCTCTTAAGGCACTTGCTGACCACTCAACATCTGCCAGAAAGCCAGGAGAGAACAGAAGCTGCAGCTTGAAACCACATCCACAGCAGGTATTGAGGAAACAGGCTGGAGTTCAAGGTGGGGACTTTCATTTGAGCCCAAGTAGGGTCAGGCCTTAGGAGTGAGACATGAAAGAGAAGAGCTCTCACAGGACTCAAAAAAACCTCAAAAGAATCAACCTTGACCGTTGACCGTTAGCATTAACCTTATGGCTCTTTGGTTCTATAACTTTTCTCAATAACTCTGGCTTTTATCGAAACTATCATGGAAAAAGGGCCAAATATTGAAATTCAAAAGAAAAAGAAGACGACAGAAAGGGACTTGGGTGAGGACTTTGAAATTATGGTGATGAATACTTTTTAGGAAGAACAAAAGTAGATGTAAAGATGAAAAATATCAAAAGATAACTAAAATATAATTTGAAAAGGGATATTCTAGAATTTAAAAAACTAGAATTTAAATTAAAAAATTAAGTATGTGTAAGTACAACTTACATATGTGAATGTATATGTAAGTATAACATACATATTTTAAATGAAAATCCACTAATTTAATTGCAGACCATATGTATGGATTTATAAACTGGATGACACATCAATAAAAAAATATAGTAGCTAAAGTACAGAGAAAAGAAATAATGGGAAATCAAAACAAAGTTTGGGAGATGACTGACACTGGCAAGTGAGCTAAAATAAATATAGCTGAAAGTCCTCAAGGAGAAGAGAGAAAGAATGAGACAATTAAAACAAAATAATTACGACGGGGATCTTATTTCTCCATGTTTTGCTCAGGTAGTACTGTACAGAAGGGGGAATGCTGGTCTTTCTGGAAAAGTGAGTAATATACCACTTGTTTTTATTTCTGAGATAATTCTTGTCAAGCAGTAAAGGTAACGGGAACAGTTCCAAAGATTCTCACAATATGCCAGGATGCCCGTGTGAACTGGAGACTTCTGGGGAATCAGTCAACAGTGGAGGTTAGTTCACTGCTGTGCTACAGGATTCGGTAGCGGCCATCTTAACTCCCAATTTTGAAACTGACTAGCAAGCTATAGTAGTCAAACAGTGTGCTGCTGGAGTAAGGATAAGATAGAGGTCAATGGACTGACCTCCACCCGGGAGTCAGTACACTTGTCCTATTCTAACTGTTACTGGACTTGCACAGGGAGACTTGCCTGTGTGATGGTGTGGGGGCCACTACTGGTAGCAAGACAGAACAATGCATATTTTCTGCCTGTGCCCACTGGTTCTTTTCTTTTTAAAAATTGTATACCAGTCATCTTTATGGCAATAACAAAAAATAGAATTGTTTGATATAATGACAAATTCCCAAGGTGACTTGGGACTATTAAAAGAGTAGATGAAAGAAAATGAATACACGTACCAGGAAAAGGCGACATCATTAATGTCACAGGAAAGAACAGAGCTGCAGGGGTAGTTTTGGTGGAACACGACCCTAGCCCCCTTTGTTGGACTGGTCCAGCACAGAGCAAGGAAAGGGGATTACCATTCCAAGAAGCCAAGCATACAACCACATGGTTGCGTGTGTTAATTCTTAACAAATGCTAGTGATACCTGAGGCACGACAGCAGAGGTAGAACTAGGGAACTCAACTAGATGAAACTAAAATTGTGACTGCTGGGATCTAGGCAGAGACACCCGAAATGGTAAAGCAGGGTACAAGAATACCCAATAACCCTCTTGAGTTTTTACCCACCATCTATCAGCAACTTTTAAGAAATAAACCACCAAAGTTTGAGGGGGAAGGCCTAAACACAGAGGTCAAAAGTGATATAACTTAGTGACTCAGCTTTCCCTGTAAGCTTAAAAGTAAGTAGGAGATGATTCGGGGGAAAAAAGAATTAAGAGAGTCACTACATTTTCTGAGTGCTTCTCTAAGTGCCAGGGACTGGCATGCAGTGGGAGAATGAACAAAGTCCTGGTTTGGTCCTGGGGAGCTTATACCCCACTGGAAGAAGACGATAAGCAATAAATACCTATCACATTTGGGGGTAGAAAATGCTATGATGCAAAAAAAGCTTATGTGTAAGCTAATTCTGCTGTTATTACAGATCAAGGTGAAGAGAGTGCTGAGGCCCTAGGGCTCAGTATTTTGTGCCAGTTAATTTCTTATTAATGATATCTGGAGAATAAAATATCAGAATAACTTTCTACTCAAGGAGGGCACTTTCCAAGTGGAAAAAAAATATGTTTGGGATACAAAAATTCCTTTATAGCAAAAAATATCTATTTAAAAAAATCAAGTTACTTAATCATAGAATTCTGACACAACCTGCTGCAGCGTGACTGAATCTTGAAAACATCTTGCTTAGTGAAACGAGTCAGGCACAAATGAACAAATCCTGTTATGACTCCACTTAAACAAAGCACCCCGAGGCGGCAACTCACAGACAGAAAGTGGAACAGAGGCTCCTGGAGACTTCAGGGAGACGGGGTGGGAGTCACTGTCCAGTGGGTATAGTGTGTCTATGTTGGATGATGAAAAAGCCTTGGAAATGGAGAGTGGTGATGTTTGTGCAACACTGCACTATACTTAGCACCGCTGAATTACACACTTAGTATCGTTAAGAGAGCATGTCTTCATGTTAGGTGTATTTTACCTAAGTGCAAATTACTTTGTAACTCTCTCAGACAGAAATTCCTTGGAAAAGCAAGCCTGACCGTTTCCAAGAATTTGGCAACACAGCAGACTTCAGTTCAAGGAAACTTGACTGCCCGGGTGGGGGCAGCAGGAACAAGCGCTTCTCCCCAGCCAGTGACTGTCCTCTACTGGCCACCCCAGAGGTCTGGGGCATTGTTCAGAAAAGGAAATGCCAAGTTTCTTCACAGTCCCATGTCCTATATCCAGCAGAGAGCCTGGCATTACTTCCCTCATTTTCTCAGTGTGATCCCTGCTCCTAGCAATCGACAAATGCCAAAGAGCACAAACGCTTAAAAGAAAAGGCACAAAAGTGGTAAGATTACTAATGTAGTCGTTCCTTTTTCTGATAAAACATTTTTAGAAAAGACAGATTTATCCAAGTGGAAGTAACATTTAGCAAACAGAGAATACTGTCTAGGGAACAGAGCAAAACAAATTAATAAACATTATCACAAGTCACTGATGGAGGAGAGAATGCAGGAGAGGCATCAAGTCACTGACGGAGGAGAGAATGCAGGAGAGGGAGGCATCAGGACAGCCACGCAAAGGGAAGGGCAAGAGGGGCAAATGCAGCAATGGACACAGCCAGAACATCCAGGCACCAAAGCCCATGCCCCGGTAAAGACAAGGACATGGAGATGGAGATGAAGCTCACTAGGGAATCTCCAACCTCTCAGATTCTATTCAAAGTCAACAAACCTGGGCTCGAGGAGTGAGCCCCTCCCAGAGAGAAGCTGTCTGCCTGGGCAGTCTCTCCACGAGCAGGAGGCAGCTGCTCTCCCGCCCACCTGTGCCTATGCAAGTGCTTCCTCCCACCACTCTCTCCCTCTGCAGGGCAGCAGCATCCTGCCTGCCCGTGACCTGCACCTGCCGGGACTCCTTTGCACTGACCTCCCTCAGGGGAGGCCTCTTCCTAAGACCGCCTGCCTGCACCATGCAGGCCTCTCTCCCTGCAAACCTGTCCCTTTCAGGGCAGCTCTTCCTGCCCACTCGCACCTAACCAAGTGTCTTCCCCTCTCCCGTCTCTTTCTAATAAACTTCCTCTTTAAAAATAACTGAGTCTCTGTCTCATGAAGAATCTTGCTGTGTGCCACTGAAGGGGGAGCTCTGTGAAACCTTTCCCAGAATGAACCCAAGAACCCTGAACTCAAAAGGCGACATCATCACTAAGTCTAGAAACTATGTACAGTAACTTATCAATAATTTATTTGATTTTTCCTAAGTGCTAAATATTCAGGAAATTGGACATTTCTCTGTTGCTGCTATTATTCTACGATTCTTAGTTGGTAGACAAAAATGTATTAATTGGGAAAACTCTTACAAGAGGCCAAAAGTCACTGTATTAACTGAGACACCTCAGAGGAAATCCCTTACATTTTTATATGAAATAATTAGAAAATGACCAGAGAATCTGATCTTGTCCCTTAAAATATTTTTTCCCCATCAATATCTATCCATTGTTAAAAATTTGGTATTCACTGAAAAGCATGAAGAAAACTGTCCGTGAACCATATCACCCACTAATAGCATGGCATTTTGATATATTTTCTTCTGATGCTATTCACCTTTTCATGATATCCTATTTCTACATATTTTACTTAAAATGAGACCACGGTCACTGTCCTTTGTTACTAAAATGTATTCATAAACATAACATCTGAATAATATTCAACTTATGTGTAGTTATACAATTGACAACATCTGCTCACTGCTATTTTATTTAAACTATGCAGTGATAATCATACCTTTGGGGGAAACATTTTTCTTCACTGCTTATTTTTTTCTGATAGTTTCCAGTGAAATTAACAGATCAAAGTATATAAACATTGTAAAACAACACAGATAATATCATGTGTCCTTTTATTCTTTTGTATCTTCTCAGTTAAGTTGGAGCTTTTATTATCAGACACTGAGATTATTTTGTTACATAGCAAGAAAAGAGTAGTCATTAAGATACTATCATGGTTTTTTATGTTCTTATGACTAAATCATTATGTTCTAAAAGGTTTGGGGCAGAAAAGTTTTTGGCCTGTTCACTGTATTTCAAGCCCATTTTACCGACATCTTGTTAACTATAATGGTTTTACAAGGGGAGTTTTAGTTACATATGTGGGTATCATGCAACATTTTTATTTTCCCATTTCTAAAATTATACTTTTTGTAATAATATAAAATGATAATGGTGACAAGGGCATACTTATGTTGCAACTGAAAATGTATCTAGTTTCATTGTTAGAAATGATATTTTATATTGGTCTGAAAAATAATCACTTACACTTTCAAGAAATATTTACAATTATTGAGTAGCTACTAAAATACAGGGATATAATAGTGACCAAAAACGGCTAAAATTCCTACCTTTAAAAAGCCTATAGAGGCGGCCCTCCCTGGTGGCGCAGCGGGTTAAAGCACAGCACTGAGAACCTAAAGCCGCTTCTGCATGAATTCGATTCCTGACTGCCCTGGAGGTGACCACATGGTGTGGCGGACCTCTCTTGACCTGTCCCCTGCTCCCCTTGGCAGTGTGCTTCGTCGGTCTGCCTGTTCTGTTCCCCACTCTGTCCACTCTGTCTCTGGTGAAGCCTCTCACTGCCCCTGAGCCTCTGGCCTGTACCCCAGTTCTGTATGCACAAATAAATAAATCTTTAAAAAAAAAAAAAAGCCTATACAGGTTAGTAAGAAACAAAGACAACAAAGAACAGAATAAATGTAAAACGGTAACCATGCTAAGTGGGTGCTCGGACTGGTTGTTATATTAGGGACACTAACCCCGTAGACATACACACACAGGGTCAACTCCACAAACTCCAGCCTCTTGTACATCCCCAAGGTGGGTCAACTTTTTTGACAAAAGTCTTTCATCTAGGTTAGCTCTAGGAGTCGAGCCGTCTGAATACTGCATGCAGTGTCTTGTGGTGCACTGTACAGTCTGTCTCCAGGGCTCAAACGCACGGTATGATTTATGGGAATAGGTGGCTTTTCCTCTGAGCGTCTGGAGTTTCAGAGAAGCCACAATAATTACGTGCCTCACCCCTCTTCAGAACGCTGAACTCCAGGTGCACGCGGGCTCCCTCGTGGGGCACGCGGGCTCCCTCGTGGGGCACGCGGGCTCCCTCGTGGGGCACGCGGGCTCCCTCGTGGGGCACGCTGCACGTGTCTCACACACAGGCGCTGCTAGGAGCGGCTTCTCCGCGGCCTACACCACGTTTCCTCGGACTTCAGGCACGCTCCTTCTCCCTCTACTCACGCTGCTTTTTCTCTAATAAGTCCTAACCACGAGCCTAACAGCTTCTACATGTGAGTCCTGTTAGTAAACTGCCAAATCCGAGAGAGATCCTGGGACTGCGTGAACCGACACACACCTGTGCAAAGCATCTAAGGGGTGTCAGTGAGGCAGAAGCCGTCTGAAAAGTACTTATTGGAACTGAAGTCTGAAGAGTAGGGGTGCATGCATAGAGAGAGGGAAACTGCTTTCCAATACGAAGGTACAGTCTGAAAAGACTACAGTCTGAGGAACCAAAGGCCGTTTTACAGCTCCAGGGGCATGCTACAAAGGACCGCTTTTACCACTGCAAGCACAGGCATGATGTGATTGGGTTTCAGAAAAATTCACTCAGGCTGTAATATAAAGAACAGAATGTTAAAAGGCCACCACAAGTGGCCTAGACAAGATTTTCATTATCTTAAGGCAGTCTCTTTATATTCCGCACATATTAACTACTTGGTGTTTTGTTGTTCACATGATCATTTTGTCCTTGTTTTGTTTCTATCTTTAGTTCTCAAAGAAGATTCTGAATAGCCGTGAGGTGTTCTTCCAAGGGCACAGAGGATATAAAAAAGGGGGATGAACACGCAAGAGTGAGAAGGACCGTGTCTACATTTTTGCTTTTTCTTCTACAATCTCTTTCAAATTTCTAAAGCCTGCCGATATTTTGTTTATGTTAACTCTTATATGCAGCAGAGATTTTAAAGCAAGGGATTACATGAACACTTACCCTTATGGAAGGATGCCTGATATCTAATATATAAGAATGGTCCCAAATAGGTGAATTTAATTTTAAAAATCTGCTCATATCTTCTCTGTTGATTCCAAGATTGCGAAGGCCATTCATCATTTTTCCTTCCAGTTTTAGCACATCCAAAATACTTCAAAGAAAAAAATGTTTTATTTGACTTGCCAACACTTTTTAAAGAATCTTTTCAAATTAATACATTTCAATATTAGAAATAAGTTTCACTGGACTTTTTATTAATAGCAAAAATATAAAATATTAAAATTAGACTCATTAATAAACAAGACAATAACTTTTAGTTATTCAGAGGTTTAAACTTACAACGAAGTCCTTTTAAGTGGTACCAAAAAGATAAGACAAGATTTAATTACTATAGTCTTTATCAAGCAGTAAGTTTAGTCTCACCTCTGAGCAAGTGAACCATGAATTTATTGATATATTACCAGATTACTGTTTTGATAAACCTACTATGAAAACAAGGTAAGATCAAATGAAGTACAATATAAAATTTTGGTAGAAGATAAGGCCAATTACAGCATAAAAAGTTCACATCTTTTTAACACTGAAATGTCTCATTACATACATTTTCAGACACAAACGTGCTTTACCACCATCTATAAAGTCTTAACCTTACAGACACATTTTTACAGTCCTTTAATATAATGGAAAGTAACACTGGAAAAGAATAACAAAGACAACAGCATCAATAAATAAACCTAATGGCAAAAAACTGGGGCAGTCTGGTTTTTAAACTGCATTTGTCAAGGTCACACAGGCAGCTAAGTGCCACGCACTTTTCAAAGAGTCTCCCGAGTCTCATAAGCACCCCAGAAAGTCTCAAAGATGCAAGTGGAGCTCAGCTAGCTGCTGTCTCCTGCCATCTCACTCCAAGAGGGCTGCAGGGTGTGTGCATGCTGTGGGGTGCAGCGCTTCCTGAGGGTACTCAGCAGGGGTGCAGTGCTGGAGAGGGGTTGCTGCAGGGCAGCCTACCTTCCGCGCCTATAAGGGTTAGACTGACAGACTGCAGTAGAACCCAGCCATGGAAATCACCTTGCCTTTCATAAATGAACAACATTGAAATAAAGTAATATGTGGATTTTAAAACACATTATCAGGAACTAACCAAGATCTACAGTGAAAAAGTAGTGTTCTCAGAAGAGGAGTGAGAGAGAAGGAGCTCGAGTTTGACTATCACCAATCACCAGAAGGTGTCACCAATCAAAAGACATATGGAGACCAGATGGGTCAAAAAGCAAAACCTAACGATGATGTTCCAAGAGACCCACTTAAACTCTAAACAAACTTGGACTGAAAGTCAGGAGATATAAAATGGCAGTCCAAGCCAATGGTAAAATTTAAAGAGCATTTAAATATACTTAATCAGCTAAAACAGACTTCGAGGTAAAAAGATAGCAAGAGGTAGACATTATATGATCAATGGGAGAACCTCACAGTTATTAAGATATACATACCCAATACAGCTATTACCTTTGGATTTGTTTACAATCTTCCACTGCTTTCTCCTGCCCTTAATATAAAAGACTTAAGTCTGCTTTGGTTCCAGAATCTGCTCTGTACTTATATTTGTAACCCCAGCTCCTCAGCAACTTCTTACTTTACAGACCTGTTATACCACACTCAAGCATGCCATGCTCATTTCTTAGACTCCCCACTTTGCCTGGTTCAGCCTTGAACTCTAGCTATCACTTCCATGAAGAAAGCTGATATATACACTGTCACTGTATTCCATGTAGTTCAGGGCCTCCCTGGTGGTGTAGTGGTTAAGTCTGAATGCTATCTAAATAGTGCCAGCCACTGTGGCATGAGTTCGATCCCTGGCCAGGGAGTTACCTTATTGGCACAGTAGACCCATCCTGTCTCATCTACTGCTCTCCCTCAGCACTGTATTTCAGAGGATCCACCTGTTCTGCTTCCCACTCTCGCTGGTGAATCCTCTTACCCCCTGCACCTCTGGCCTACACCGCAGTTCTTCTATCTATAAATAAATAAATCTTTTTAAAAAAGAATTAGTTCAGAGGCCCTCCCTGGTGCAGTGGGTTTAAGCACAGCACTAAGAAGCTAAAGCCACTTCAGTATGAGTTCGATCCCTGCTCCGGAGCTGACCGACATGGTGCGGCAGACCTCTCCTGACCCGCCCACTGCTCCCCTCAGCAGTGTACTTCGTCAGTTGGCCTGTTCTGCTCCCCAATGGTGAATCCTCTCACCGCCCCTGCACGTCTGGCCTGTACCCCAGTTCTGTATACATAAATAATCCTTTTTTTTTTTAAAGAATTGGTTCAAATTTCTGGAATTATAAACTCTAAATCACTGCATTTCAGCTTTTATAAGCCTTAACACTAATAATGCATTTACTATTAGTTATTTCACTTAGGCAAGAATTATTTCTGTCTTGTTCATCACCATACCTCTAATATCCAGCACTTGCTACAGCTAGCAGGCAGTGAGATAGTTGACTGAATTTTAGCATTGGATGGATTTTACAATGTTGAGTTTTAATGTTGCTTGCATCACAAATACTTACTTATCGAAAATTCAAAAGAATCTTGAGCTAGGTAAGTTCATTAAAATACAGATAATACTACACAAATGAGGCTATCAAGTCACCTCTGTTATTTCTTTCGTCCTCGTAGTTACACTTCAGACACTGCTCAAGTGGAACATGGTATCTTGAGAAGTTGTAATGACCAATGTTTGGTCAAATCTACGGCTGAAGTGATTATTTATCAGTAAGAAGTACAGTGCCTGCTATGTTGTTAGTCGCCCTAAGGTAACTTTTAAAGATATCATTTATATACTGCTTAACATTTACCCAGTCTGCCTGCTCTCCTCCCTGGTCACTGCAACTGCGAAGCCTCCTGGAAAGACAGGTGGACTTGGCAGCTGCTGACCTAAGCCTGGGACCCAGAGAAGGTCTGGTGCCTCCCACTACTGCCAGGGTCGGAGGGAGAGAGCCAGGTCTTAGGGTACATACAGATACTGTCCACAAACAAAGTGCAATGAGATGAGGAACAGTTCCACACTGTCTTCCCCAAAAGGGCAAATCTAAAAAAGCAGTTGCCCTGACTTCTCTCTAGACCCAGGCAGCACGACCACAGCAATACGACATTCCCCTTTCTCTCCTCTTTCCAGTGCCATTTTCCCCCTGCATCAACCTCTTCACAATGATTTTGCTCTACATGCTATAGTCACTTTTTGAGAACCTATTTATTCTGTGCTAAAAAATGTCAAGAGATATAAATATCTCACTTCTTCTCTATGGGAACTATCGTAGCTGCAACTCGTGGTCATATCAATGAGGAACAAAAATGTATTACACGTCCTGCAGCTCACTAATGACCGGGGGAGCAGCCAACGGGCAGCACCTCTCGATGTTAGAATTAGAACACAGTTGTGCTAAATTAAAGGGCAAACGCTCCTGCCATGACTTCCCCATACTCTGCCAGCTTTCCAAAGCCAACTGACTATCTCACTTGCTCTTTGGAGCCTTTTGTCCCTCTCCCCATGACAGACGTAATTTCTCCCTCTGCAGCTTACAGGCCAGGCGCTAACAACTGCCCTTTCTTCTGCTGTGTAGAAATGTCCTGTGTGTCTTTGATTACTATTTTCCCAATATCAGGTCCAAAGAGTCAACTAAATAAAAAAGAGCTCCATTTGAACTATTCTACTCATGCAGTCATTACTGTATTTCTCTTTGTATTTACAGATTAGCACAAAAATAAAATATATAATTAAGTTCAGTAAGAGTATATTCAATTGCATTAAAACTATTATTTAACTAAGAAATACTAAGAATCAAGTATTCAAGTACTGTGTTCACTAAATTCGTCTTATAGTCTAAATAATAAGCTTTAAAGGTAGTTATATATATATATATATATATTTTTAATATTTATTTATGCATATAGAACCAGAGTACAGGCCAGAGGTGCAGGGCGGTGAGAGGATTCACCAGAGACAGAGCAGGGAGCAGAACAGGCAGTCGACTGAGATACACTGCTGAGGGGAGCAGCGGGCGGGCCAGGAGAGGTCTGCCACGCCATGTGGTCAACCCCAGGGCAGGCGGGAATTGAACTCATGCTGCAGTGGCTTTAGCTTCTCAGTGCTGTGCTTTAACCCGCTGCGCCACCAGGGAGGGCCGGTAGTTTTACATTTTAAGTAAAATAAATTTGGTTTGATTTCTTTTGGCCGATGACTTTCATTTACTTTCCAATTCTGCCTAAAGCATTTCTGAAGAGTTTTCTTTTTTTTGACCTGGAAAGACCAACTTCGTCTTCTATATTTGAAAATTCCTTTCTGACAGCTACCAGAACTTTAAATTCTTCCTGTTAATTTCTTTCCATTCCTTTCTAGAAGATAGAGCTCCCTGGCTGCTCAGATCCAGTCCCCAAAAAGTTTCCTGCTAGATGATAAGACTACTTTCCAGTGAGAGTAAAAAATTAGGACAGTAGGTTTCTTACCTTCACTAATACCTGACAGTTCTCTCTATCGTGCTTATGAGGGTATTCTACCAAAATCAGAGAGCAGCTTTGCACAGTCAAAATAATGTACTGGTTCTAGTTTTAACGAAATTATTTGTATTTTGACAAACACTGAAGTGAGGACGTATTACCTGTATGTGAACCATAGTTTCTATCAATTGTTCAGTACTTACCTAAAAGGGTCATAAGAATCCATTTCAAGACGAAGTCCATTTATAAACAGGCAAGCATCACCTGGATGAATGGCAAATCTATTGTGAAGATCCTTGAAATGAGTAGAGTGATTGTTAGCCAGATGATATAACAACAGTGATAATTGTGTTAGGAGCTGGCAAACATTCCAGAATGTCAGACAAATACATCAGGCTTTGCAGGTCATGTCTCACTCTGCCCTTATAGCATGAAAGAGCCAGCCAAAGAATATATAAATCAGTGGGCATAACTATGTTGCAATAAAATTTTTATTTATAAAAAAGATGGCAAGCCAGACAGCTGTGAATGGTAGCTGTTTGCCATCCCTGACATCAGCAATAAGAATCTGATGATGGGTCAGATGCTCGAATTCCTGAATATTTTGATTGTGCATATGCCAAAGTTCTAATGCTACAATGAATAATTATCTACTCACTTTTCTACTATTTGATAGTTGGAAAATTCCTATTCTTTGATAACCTAAGGCTCAAATTTTTGATGTGTAAATATATTTCTTTCTAAATTCACAAAGCAGTGTTCCAGAAATGCTGGGGGCTAATCACTCCTCACACAATTTTCTGCACTAGCCTCCAACTCCTGCAAGATAAAACCAACTTTCTACACCCTTTTCCAGGGAGGGATAGTCCCTGGCAAAACTGTGGTGGAAGAGATGTTGCCAAAGAGCTCCAAGAAGGTGAAAGAATCACATCTTTCTAATTTGAATACAGATAAGAAGCTTTGGCGCCTGGAGGCAACCATGAAAAGGAAAAAACCATGGAGTCTGCAGTAACCTAACTTTTCAGTGAGAAAAATTAACTCCTTCTGTGTAGGGTCCTAAGAATCTGGTATTTAGTTACATAAAGTCAAATTCGTACTCTGTAATAAAGCCACACGATGTAAGCACATAAGCACTCACAATCGGGATCACTTGGTGTCTTAAAGGTTGTTTAAGAGTTCACTTAGCAAAATCTTACCAAACTACTAATCAATTGTGCTTCAGATGCTATAGGATGGCATAACTTGGTTCTCACAAGTTTTTCAGAAAAGCTAAAAATGAGAACCAGAAAACCTAGCCTTTATTCCTTATCCTGGGAAGAAAATCACTCTTTGTCAGAAGGTCAGGAGTACAGGGTGAAGGAAGGAAGGTCTGGAAGTAGAGTGGATGTAAACAATATCAAGATGAAAAAAAAACAGAAGCTGTTTTAAAAATCCAAAAGCACAAATGAACACTATTTCTTTTGTATGAAATAGAAGATCTATAGTCTTGAAAACAGTAGTACATTTTTAAAAAAAAGAATTTAAAAATCAGAATAAAAAAGAAATTCAAACAAACCTTTTGATTTTCCTGTATTTCTTCTTTCATTTGTTTATTTACAGCAATCCTAGTCAGAGATCTGGGAAAATAAATACTGAGATGATTCATTCTTTCATAAATACTTAAAACTAATCAATACTTAAAAACTGTAATCAATGTAGTAGAATACTTTGTATAGGAAACTAAAATTCTAAAGGCTTCATGAAAAATTTTTGGTTGTAATTTTTTTCTCATTATTTATTGTTTGAATAGTGGTTTTTTTTTTTAAAGATTTATTTATTCATACAGAACTAGGGTACAAGCCAGAGGTGAAGGGGCAGTGAAAGCATTCACCAGAGACAGTGTGGGGAGCAGAACAGGCAGACTGAAAAAGTACACTGCTGAGGGGAGCAGTGGGCGGGTCAGGAGAGGTCTGCTGCGCCATGTGGTCACCTCTGGGGTGGGGATCAAACTTGCACTGAAATGGCTGCAGGCTTGTGTGCAGTGTTCCATCCTAACCTGTTGCGTCACCAGCTTGAGTCACTAACCTGAACAGTATTTTATTGGATCACCATGTCTCTGTTCAAGTTTAAATACTTTTTGAGATAAATTAGCTTTCTTTTCCATTTGCCTCTAACTCGAGTTGTTTTGTAGTATGTACATGAAAGCACAACAGAAGCCAATACTCTGTTGCAGTAAATAATCAACATATATAATGAAGAAAGGTCCTGACTTCACACACACTATATATATATCACAATTAACTGAAATCAGCTATTTTCATAAAATGCATTGAATGGATGTTACAACTATAATCATACCAAAAAACTTTTGTATACCTGGCTTTTATGGGAAAGTTCTGTGAAATGTCTTTCATTAATTTTATGGCATCATAAACTGGAACAGACATTATTTGAGAAGCTGCTTGAAAACTAAGATCTGAAAGGAAAAAATGTATCATTAAGGGTCTAGGATAACAGACATTAATATAGACATTTCCATGTAATTTAAATAATTTACTACACCTTCCTTGCCATATACTCATAGAAAGGGTTAATATCCAAGACAAAGAACAAAAAACAATCCAATTAAAAAATGTGGAGAGATTGGTGAGAAGGGGGGAGTGCACGGGACTTTGGTGATGGCACATGGGTGATTTGGTGATGGGAAGCCCGCAGGGATCACAACTGAGATGCAAAAAGGCACAAAATGTAAAAATAAACTATTATAATAAAAAAATGTGTAGAGAATGTGAGGCAACACTTCTGCAAAAAAGAAATTCAGGTGGTCAATAGGCACAGGAAAAGGTGTTCATCATTTTTTATTACTATGGAAATGCAAATCAAAACAACCTATCACCTCATACCTCTGAGAATGGCTACTGTGTAAAGACAAGGTACAGCAACAAGCACAGAAAAGGGAACCCTGTACCCTGTGGGCTGTAAACTGTCACCACCTCTTTAGAAAGGAGTAAAAGCAGTTTTACAAAATTAGTAACAGAAAACCCCTACAATCCATTTACCCCACTTCTGGGCATTGATCCCAAAACCACAAAAACACAACTTGAAGAAGTGTGTACACCTCTACACCCCTGAGGTGTGTTCTTTGTTTGTTTTGTTTTTGCAGCCTTATTTATAGTAGCCAAGAGCTGGAAATAATGTAAGTGCCTGCTGATTGGTGAATGGATAAAGAAGTGGTATATGTGCACAACAGAATATTACTCAGCCATAAAAATGAAATCTGACCATCTGTAAAAGCCTGGATGGAAAGGGGAGGCCTTCAATTCAGATCCCATATTTAATTACCTTTGCTTAGATTTACCACTTGAATACTTCTACAGCAGCTCATTTATCAATAAATTTGTGATTGTCTGATGCTTTCTTTGCCTAAATCTGGTCCTACTTAGTCTTTCTTTTCAATAAATGTTACTACTGTCCATCCAGGTGGGTAAAACACAAATCTATCAGTTGTTCTTAATATCTCACATTCCACATCCAACCTCTCACAAGGATAATTTGATGCACTTTCCCAACAACCGAAAATTATCCCAAACCTGCCTCAAATATTAACTAAATCGTGTCTTAAAGACACCTCCCCTTTTGGTGCCCTTCCCCCCCTCACCCTTCCCAGTTTAGATCTAACTAGGGCTCTACCCTTTTTATTCCTATGTGCCCCGAGTTTGCAGATATCACAATGGTAATTTTTACAATGATCTTTTAAATTATCTAACTTACATTTATCTAAGAGCTTACTTATGTGTTTTATGTCCTCTCTACTAAGGCACAGAGGCAGACATCTTCCCATCTTGATGCCTCTTATTCCCTAAACTATTGCCGAATCCAGCCTTCTTTTCTAACCATTTCTTCATGGTCTTCATTACACTATTTTTTAAACTAGATTTCCTAATCTACATGACACAGATAGGGGCTAGAAAATAAGGCTGAACTGACTATATATTGTCTCCATTTATAAGCCTTCAAATCACCTATCACTTACATTTCCTAAATTATGAGTCCCTTGAGAAAATTTTGATGGCTAAGACAATACACAAGTAGTTGTCCACAGCCCACAGCCAGTGGGGCTGGGGTGAAATGGTGAGCGACTATAAAAAGGCACATCAGTTTCTCTTGGGGATGAAAATATTCCCAAATGGACTGTGATAAGTCACAGAACTCTGAAAATTCACTAAAATCTACTGAAATAGGAAACTTATAAGGGTGAGTAACATCAATTTTATCTCAGTAACCTATAATATTTTTAAAGTAATGAGATGTGATAGAAGTTAGGAATTATTCCAAAAAATGAAATTACAAGTAATACAGAAGCAATTATAAACTGAAAAAGACTTATAGTTAAGTCCAAAGTAAATTTGGGTCATAAAATTTCTCATACTTGACAGTACAGAAGCTGTTCAAAGCGACAGTGCAATATGTAAGGATACAATAAAATTTGAAAGCTAAGAAAATGAAGCTGAGTTCTGATTATCCCAAACTCCTAGTCAGAATTTTAGTAAGTGTGCTAGATTCTTTGAAATGTGATTTAATACATGAAATGAACCTGTAAGAAAAACCACTGTATACTTTAAAATTATTTGATATTGCAATAATCTAATACCTTACAAATAAAAAATGTGATTTGATGAATAACCTTTTCATAAAATTATAACACACGGTAATTTTATAATATATATTATTCACACTAGTAATTATTATTATGAAATAATTTGTTATTTTATGTAAAAGCTAATTTCTGTTTTGTTAGATGAATAAGCAGATAAAGACAAACTGAGAAATGAAACCCTTGGTAGTGGACCACAGAACTGAAACACGGGGCTGGATGGCGTGGAGGAAGGAAAAGTACAAACTGGGAAGAAAGTACAATATCCAGGGCAGCGGGGGGTGGGTGTACTACGGTGGTATACCTGAACGCAGTGCCCCAATATTATCTCTCCTAAAAATAATTTAAAAATATGATACTAAAATACCCTACCTTGCAGTTCCCAGACTTTGAGAGGTATCATTTCCTTGCTGCTCTCAGTCAGATATTTTTGGAATGCTGTCAGGTTGTCACTGAGACCTGGATATATTTCTCTGCATTGGAAAATTAAGTAATGTTAATTACCATCACCTACTATTGAAGCAGTGTATTTTTAAAAATTAACTCTTCTAAATAGACACAAATTGACCAGTACGATAATAAATCATGATGCAGCTAAATCCACAGAACTTAAAAATAATGAGAGATACAATACAAATGTTTACTTTTTCAACATATAAAATAACATGAAATCTGGAGGAATGCATTAAACATTGTTAACAAATTAATATTACCTAAAAGGAGTGCAGTGTAAGTGCAGAACTAGTTTTTAGGTTATATACTTTTATTCTAACATTACAATTATTACTTCTTTAATAATTTACAACAAAAATTATTTTAGACATTAATATAACCTCAGATTTATCCTATTTTTGAAAAGTTGCATCTTTGATTCTTAAGAAAACTTAATTTGTCTAATGTGAAATACATTTAGGTATCTTTTAAAAAGTATAATGACATTTTATTATACATATAAGTCATAAGCTTTCTTTTCTCATGAAATAAAAGACTCAGTGGTATTTCAGATTTAAACAGGCAGAACTAAAAACTATCAATATAACTTATAAAGCACGTTTTCAACAGTAAAGATAAATGAAAATTTTAAAAAGTAAAATAAAACTACATAGAACATATGTACAGAAATATAATAATCTTATCGTTAACAACAAAACCCGTAATATACTACAATGTTAAAATGCTGCATTTTATTATAATGTGGGGACCACACTTTGAATCAAGACTGACTATAACTCTTATAGTAAAAAAATAAGGGAACGTCTTTTTAAAAGAATTTCACAAATTAAATTCATTTCTATTCAATATCATAGTTATAGATGTTACATTTATAAGAAGTGTTGTTTTTTACATTTAATCATAAAGAAGTAATATTCACTACTGAAACTTTGTGTTTCAGGAAAAAATACCTTACTCAGACAACACCTTATAGCAATGTGTTTTACACTAAATTAACTGTGTAAAAAGTAAATATTATCTTTTAAAAAATTAATATTATACAATTTACAATTTACCCCACCAAAAAAATGCTAAAAAATAATGAATTCCAAAGTGTTGAGACACAGTTGAAAACAGAATATGTACTCATATAAATGCCTTATTTAGAACAAATCCATTTTGCAATATGCATTTTTTAAGGATAGTAGTGTACCACGTGGCCAATTTAAAATTTAACTCAGTATCTGTAAAAATTAGTATAATCTCAAAAAATGTTCCCTTTACTCTGTCAACTTATTCACTGGGAGATTTGAACTTTGTGTCCTTTATGATTACTTAGAAAACTAAACTAGAACTAAAAGTTTTAAGACAGGATTTAAAAAAAAAACATAATAGCTTATTTTTTACATCAGTTTGTGCCTTTTTCCATCTCAGTTGCAATCCCCATGGGCCTCCCACCACAAATCACCCGTGTGCCAGCACCATAGTCCAGCACAATCCCCCCCACCCCGTAAAACAGGATTTGAAGTAATTTTGTTAATGTAATGAATTAAAACCTTCGCCTTATAAAATAAGGGGAAGTGCACATAAAACTCCAAGAACCCCCATTCCATTCACAAATATTCCGGGAGAACTCACCATCCTATTCTTTGTCTTCAAAATCAGTGATGCAGAAAAAAAAGGAGCACAACTTTAATGTTTGACAGGTTACTTATAAATATGTAAGTAACTAAGATGTCAAAAAGTTTTTAATATGGCACAGAAATTTATAGGAATGTTTTCTGTTCTTTTGAGGTATGAAAATTTTGATTGTTTATACTAAATATCCTATATTAACCATGATTTTTGTTACTCATTTGATTTGTCATCAATTCCACAAAGGTTTACACTTTTTTACCAGATACAGCATTTATATATATTTTTTAAAAGACTTATCCATTTACTCATACAGAACTGGGGTACAAGCCAGAGATGCAGCGGTGGGTGAGAGGCTTCACCAGAGACAGTGGGGAGCAGAACAGGCAGATCCACGAAGTGCACTGCTGAGGGGAGCAGCGGGCGGGTCAGGAGAGGTCTGCCGCGCCATGTGGTCACCTCTGAGACCTGGGATTGAACTTGTACTGAAGCAGCTGTGGCCAGCCTGCAGTGCTGCATCCTAACCCGTTGCGCCACCAGGGAGGGCCAGCTTTTTTTTTTTTTTAATGATTTATTTATGCATTCAAGAACTGGGGTACAGGCCAGAGGTACAGTGGGTGAACGGACTGGCCAGAGACAGAGTGGGGAGCAGAACACGCAGATCAATGAAGTACACTGCTGAGGGGAGCAGCAGAGAGCCAGGAGGGGTCTGCGCGCCATGTGGTCACCTCCGGGCATTCGGGGATTGAACTCATGCGGAAGTGGCTTTAGCTTCTCAGTGCTGTGCTTTAACCCGCTGTGCCACCAGGGAGGGCCCCAGCATTTATAATTTTTAAAGACTATTTTTCTAACTTCACTATGTCAAATTGGCATACTAGTAGTTATCTGCAATACCTATCTGTACTTGATATCAGAAATAGCAGCACTGCTATTAAAAACAGACACCAGTAAGCTTATCAAATAAGTTTAAACAAGATAAAAATACTGATCAATTTCAAAATAGTAAAAGCTAGCTAATAACAGCAACAGAATATTCATTTAAGAAAAATAATCTCAAATACAAAGAACTTCAACAACCACCTGACTCTGTCAGGAAAGGCAACAGGAGGACAGTGGGAACCACAGGAGGGAAGCAGAGGGAAGCAGAGCCAGAACTTACACAGGAGTAATAGAGGAAGACTTTCACACCAGGAGGAGAGTGAATGCTCAGGTCCAAGGCACTGAAAGAGTTCATGGAAGAACACCTGTACATCTAAATATGCAGTAAGACCTGTATTAAGATAGGGAGTAGTGAAACTACTTAAGAGAGCAAGATAAAGAGCAACACTGAAGACAGGTAGGGAGAAAAAGCAGGCAATCTATGACAGTATTCCTACCAGGCTTCTCTGACAAATACAAAATGGTCTCACGCTAGATGGAGTAGCGAGAAACAAAGGAACAGGCAAAGCCAAACCGAAGCAAACATTAGAAGTGTGACCGCGGAACTGACACTACCAGAAAAGGAAGGTGAGGGTGGAGACCAAGAACCGGAAAGCCTAGTGGCCCGGGGCAGGGACTGCAGGTGCCCCAGCAGTGGGATGTGCTGGGTCAAATACACGTGAAGAGGTTCAACATCACACCACTGAGTCACAAAGAGTGCTGTATGCCCAGGTTAACTACAATAAAAATAATTTTAAAAGATAAAGATCTACAATGTAAGCATAAGCACTGATGGCTGAAATTCTGAGGGGAAGAGAGAAAAGACACAAAGTATATAATGCAATAGATTTTTATTTTTCAAAAAAATGTAATCTAAATTTTTTTCTCTAAAGAAATTCAACCCCGGGCACTAATCCCACCCTCACCATTAGCAATATTATCAATAAGTATTTTAGTAAAGAACTAACTTGATCATTGTAGTTTTATTTCTTTTCTTTACATTTAACAAACAGTTATACAGCATTTATGTGCGATGATCAGTTGTCAATCTGTATTACCAAATTACTTAACTACATTATCTATTCCCTTCAAATTTAAAAACTTCCTAGACAATAAGTATTCATCATGCTAGCAACTGTATTAGGACAGACTTTAACAGAACAAGTTACTAATATGTCATATTTCAATTAGATATCAAATTTTAAAACAATCTTAATTTTGATTTTTAAAGTTAACTAGTAACTTCTAGTAACCAGGGATAACCTGATTACTAGAAATCAAATCTCAATTTAATAAACATAATAAAATTTAATAAGCAGGAAAATTTAATTCATGAATAAATTTTCCATCTTTAAGACAAACATGAAAATAAACTTAAATAGTAAATTAATCAATAAATGGTAAAGGATTTAGGATTTTTTATATAAAAAGCAGTTATAAGTTAGTAAAAATGTAAATACCTTAAGAAAAAATGAACAAAGGTTAAGAATGAGCAATTTAGCTAAGAAGAAACTCAAAGGTCAATAAACATCAAATCTTTGCATACCAAGCAATATTTGACCATTTTTATTAAAAATTACAAAATAGTTCAGATTTTATGAAGCAAATGTTGAATTTAAAAGAAAAAGAAATAACATTACATCTACTAAATCAACAAACATCTTTCAAATAGTACCAGTGGTTAATAAAGTTCTGGGAAAAGGATACATCCTTGAGAAATGAGTGCCATGGTGTGTGTATATGTTAGTAAAAGCTATGAGGGGCACTTGGAAATGCGTACCAGAATTTTAAAAGTACATAGACTTGATTTGTTGTTTTTCTTCTGGAATTTGCATTAAGGAAAATTAGAGATGTACACAAACTTGTGTACAAATACATTCAGCAAAAAGCACAGAAATAACAAAGTCCTATTTTATGATACTATTTTAGTCCCAGAATGTGAAAAAAGAAGTTGTACAGTGTTGTTCTACCACTCAAACGATACACTGCATATGCATTCACTTGTTGCAAAGAAATGTATACACATTGGAAAGACATGCAGGAGAACATTAGTTATGTCTATATGTCAATTGTGGAATAAGTGCTTCTTTGATATTGTTTTTGCAATTAATGCTTTACTTTTGTAATAAAAGCAATTTTATATTTAAAAATGTAAAACATTAAAAATATAAAATATATGCAAACAGCATATAGAATTCCTTTCAAAACAAATCTGAGAGTTATAATAGAATCTCATTTAAATCCTGACTTACTTTAGTTTCCCAAAGAGAAATCCTTGAACTTCACTTGTTTCAATCTCATCTTCTACAGTAGTATTGGTCGCAGCTATAGTTTGGAAACAGAACCAAAATAAAATACAAACCTTTCCAAAGCGGGAAAGGAACATGAAATCAAATTGAAAAGAACACAAAATGAAATCAAATTCCATTTGTTTTACCTTCAGAGAGGAGCTTACTGACACATCCATATGCACACACTTACACTTCTGAGCTTAAAATATGTTCGAATATTAAACAGTTAGCAGCCATAATTAATGCCCTACACATTATTTCATAGTTCTAGTTTATACCAGAATGATAAAGCAACAGGTCTGCAACAAATGTGGATTTGGCCCTTAAACCAGCAGATAATCTAAGCCCTACCAAATACAGTTTTTGCATAATTCTGGCTCCTTTAAAGACAATCCAAGAAATCTTCAGGAAGACGCCAGGCTTGTGGTCTCAAAGAATAAGAATATAATCTTTTATAGTCATTTCCTTTCCCCTTTCCTTACTGAACAGTAATATACAGTGTGATGACTACTCTATATGAAAGGTTCTCTTGGATTGTAAGAATTTGTGACCTCGTAGAGCATGGGGATTTGCTCTCTGCCGGGGTTTATCAGCACTCGTCAAGTACAATCTTCCTTTCTTACTCTGAAGAACTGAATCTCCAGGACTACCACCAGAAAAAGGCCTTGGGTTTTAGATCTAGTATTCCTCTTCACCCTTTCATCTGTCAGGCAAGTATTCAAGACTGCCACTATGCCTGCTGCCTGCTGGGACAGACACCAGGGAGAGTCACAAAGAGAAATCCTTGAACTTCATTTCCTCGGTCTCATCTTCTACAGTAGTATTAGTTGTAGCTATAGTTGGGAAACAAAACTCTGGTTGACAAAAAAGGAGAAAGACAGACAATTTTAACAGAGTGTGTAAAAGTTTTCTAAAAGAAAGGATAGAATTTCTTGGCTACAGAAAAGGAAACACCATCTGCTTACAGAAAAGGGAGATAGGCAGCCACCTCAAAAGAGACGATCTCAAAGATGAGCAGGCTTTCGATGGAATGGAAGGAGGGAAAGGAGGAAAGCTTCGGGCGGAGGAACAGCACATGTGAAGGGATGGAAGTCTCTTTGGATGTCAGAAAGGCTTGACATGGAATCAAACAAGGATTCAGGAGTAGAAAATTATTCTATATAATACTTTGGTGGAGCAGGATCAGAGAGTACAAATGAGGCTGAGGGAGAGTGACAAGGCAGAGGGAGGCCAGAGTGGAGAAAGTCCTGTTTGTTATGCTACAGTACTTGAAGTTATGAGGGAGATTACAGGGAGCCAACTGAGAGGCTTTAATTAGCAGTCTCAGAGTCAAATTTCCACCATAAGAAGTTATTCTAAAAGAATCGTGGAGAATACACTGGTTGATCTTTTTCACTGGGGTACAAGAACTGAGGTTACTGCAGACCAAAGGTTAGGCAGAAGGTCAGTTAGAAGCCTGACATGTACACAAAAGAAAAAAGAAAGATGAACTAAAGAAATGGCAACTAGAACAGAGCAGAGGAGATAAACTCCAAATATATATGAAAAGGAGATGACAATCAATGCAGTATGCAATCTGTAATACAGATAATCAATGTTCACATAACTTAAAGTTCTACAAGTCTAGAAAATGCTTTATGTTATATCATGACTATCAGAATTTTAATGCAGTTAGGAGCTATAGGGGAGATCCAAAAAAATTTGGATGCTTATTTCTACTATACTTTCTCAACAAGTCTTTGAAACTGGGTGTACTTAAGTCACAGTAATACAGAGCAATATACAGATGTGCACACACAAATACAGTGACCCATCCACTCCTAGGTCCTGGCTTTAATGGTCAGATCCTGAATAAATAAAAAATGAAATTGAAGCAGAAACCAGACCTGGGAGCATATAAAACAATGATTAACAGCTGAATCAACAATCAGCTCTAAATAACATTTCCAATGACTCAGGTAATAAACCATTTCTGAAAGATTGAGAATTTCTTCTGTTCCCTTAACTCTCTGGAGTCTTTCATCTACAGCACACCTTAATTCCAAAGGCTATATACAGGCAGTGGTGTGTAGCTCACAAATCTAATAAATCTACTTCATTCAATCACACAATTACTGGTTTCTTCCACTCTGCTTCAACAGCAACAACAAAAGCAAGTACCATCATTCTAACTTTATAAGTAAATGCTCTCAACAAAGTCTCCTTAGACAATGTATCACCAATGACCAACAGTTTGACAGGTCCCATTAAACTGCTTCGCCCTAGTCGCTGGCAGAATGTGGGTGCCTGAGCCCCTAGGAGAATAACCTGCAGCCATAAAGAGCCTCAGTGTACCTCATAAGCATTACCATTTTTTAAAATGTTGCTGAAAAAAGGTAAAACCACTAGGCAGAAGCAAAAGAAAGTGGTATTTCAAATTTTTATAGAAGCTTTTAAGAACACAATTTGTTTCAGTTTAAAATTAAACTCTAAGCTAAGGAAGAATGTGGCCATCTTAACTTCCAGCCTCAAATTAACATCCGTAGAATAGTACTCATTTTTTTATGAAAGTATGAAAACCTCCCAAATTTCATTCTACTCAGACACAGAAAACTTACTTTTAATTTGAGTATCATCCAATGCTTTGTATTCTGTACTCTTAATCGCTAGCTCCACGCCATAGCCAGACAGGAACATTTTCTGGGAGCTTGGTTTCTGTTCAAAGATTTTTTTTTAAGAAAGAGAGAACAGATTTGGTCAAACATCTTGCTTCAAATTCAGTACAACCATGTATTAAGATTTTAGTAGAAATGACTAACATTGAGGTTCTTCCATCTTGTAAAGTTGTAAAATATTATTTGGGGGACATTTCTACTTTCTAAGCCTATCAAGGAACCATCATTTGGATTATGACCATTTCTTTGTTTTATTAAAACTTTGCTGTAACTCTACTGTTCTTATTACTTTTCTTACAAGGAAAAAACCTGGTCTTCTGCTATACCATAGTAACTTTCCTGTCTCTCCATGAATTAATTAAAAAAGGTGCAAATAAAATCAAGTTCTGAGGAAAAAACTTCATTCCTTTGAGGGAATTATGTAAGATTTCCTGGGCTAGCAAATACTACTTCAGTATTAGTTATCTAAACATAGGACAACAAAAGCTTTTCCAAAAGGAACTACTAGAAAGTGGAGGCAAGGAAAAAAAACCTCAGAGCCTTGAGAAACTTAAATTTTCCTTTATATATCTAAACAATTAAATTATACTAAACTCCACAAATTTTTATTTGTTCTTGAAATGAGGGGCACAACTGCTTAAAACTGAGTTGTCTGTAGTATTTTTGGTACTTAATTTCCCTTCTTATAAAAGGCAAAAAAAATACAGTGTCTTTCTAGAGCCTGCCCACCACTAAGTCACCACATTTTCCCCCAAAAGTTAAGTAAGCTATGTGGATGGATACGCACAATATTTTATGTTGTTTCTCAAAGATTTATTTATTTATGCATACAAGAACAGGGTACAGGCCAGAGGTGCAGGGGATGAGAGGATTCACCAGAGACAGAGTGGTGTGTAGAACAAGAGGATCTACTGAAATGCAATGCTAAGGGCAGCTGTGGGTGAGACAGGAGAGGTCTGTTGCACCATGTGGGCTAGCTCCCTGGCCAGGGATGGATCCTGTGCTGCAGATAGCTTCACAATGCACACACTGGCACTAATATGCACCACCAGGGAGGATACACACAACATTTTAGAAATGTCTCAGGTTCTTTCTGGTTTCCAGACTGAAATTCCTATGAATGAGACTACAATAATTAACACTTGGCATATTCTTTCAGGAATTAGGAAAACAATTTAAACTAATGCTTAGCTGCCCTTGAAGATGCTATGTGCCTTTGCTTTATACAGGTTTGCACAGGAACAGCTCTATGGCCCTACACCTGATAACATGAGGTAGACTGGAGGGAAGCTGAACACTAAGACATTCCTTTTATTCTCTTTCCTTCCTAACTTTCCCCCAGCCTTAAAAAAATAAGTAAATAACCAGAGTGACTATTCCTGATCTATTTCCAAATAAGATCTAAGAATTACTTTCAGATACACAGACAAGTATTTAACATTGCTGCCACACTAAAATTTGTTAATTTCACAGGCACATGCTATAATGAAAGATAGCACAAGGAAATTGGGTTATTTATAATAATAGTAATATAACAAAGCTGAAAATCTTTTAAAGGGCTTTCAATTTCATACAGCTCATTTTAAAATACATTTTGACAATTTACTCAAAAGATAATCAATCAATCAGTGGCGAAGCAAATTGAGACAATAAGTCCACACATCTTGCTATGTTCATAAGAGTAATGCAATTTCATATAACCAATTTCCATTATCAGTTCCAGAATGTTATTAGCTCATCTTCAGTAATAAAGAAAAATATTTATTAAATACATATTTACTTTTTCAATTTGAAAATGCATTAGTATAAAGTTGAATTATAATTATTGATAAGTTTAAATTTGCAAACCAAAAATTCTCATCGACTTTATCAACTGAAGAGAAGAATCTTATTCTATTTGTTCTTTTCCCAGAGAACAGTATCTATTCCAAAAGTACCATAAATAAATCTATTTTATTTTAATTACATTTAGATATACTCAATTTACAACAGAACTAATTTTCAACATACAATAAGTCATTAAATATAAGGCTTTTCATTAAATATAAGGCTAACATTTCTGGTACAAAGTCCCCTACTAGTTAGCTAGGATGATTTCAGAGAAGAATACTGGTGGTCAATTACATTCTTCAAAGAATAACTTTGGAGCACTGATTCTTAGCACTGGAGCACCTACCCTGGGAGGCACGGGAGAGTCATTTGGGGTGACATTTTTTAAAAAGAAACACATCCTTTGATCTCTCACTCCCATTACTCTTTTTATATAATAAACAAATAGCATGTATTAAAGGTGTACAAAATAAGTGATAAATGTAAATATTACAAATTTTTTAACACAATAAATTAACATCCGTATTATACCTACATGGTTTTTTCTCCTTCATCATGAGAATTTTTAACATCTACTCACTACCATAAAAATGACCGCTATGATCAATGCGAAGGGTGATGAAATAGAAAAAATGTTGATGAGATTCATATGGAACAACAAAAAACCTCGAATAGCCAAAACCCTCATGTCTAAGAAAAATCAAAATGGAGGCATTACAATCCCAAACTTCAAGCTGTACTACAAAGCCATAATAATCAAAACTGCATGGTACTGGAATAAGAATAGACATACAGACCAGTGGATTCGAGTAGAAAACCCAGATATAAACCCATGAGTTTATGGACACCTAATTTTTGACAAAGGAGCAAAGAAGATACAATGGAACAAAGAAAATTTGTTCAGCAAGTGGTGCTGGGAAAACTGGGTAGCTACATGCAAAAAAATGAAACTAGATCATTGCCTCACTCCAGTCACAAAAATCAACTCGAAGTGGATTAAAGACCTAGACATAAGAACGGAAACCATAAAATACCTAGAAGCGAAGGGTGTTTTTTCTTTGTCTTCTAGGAGTTTTATGGTTTCAGGTTTTATGTTAATGCCTTCAATCCATTTCAAGCTAACTACTGTGGGTAATCTAAGATAGGGATCAAATTCCGTTCTTTTACATGTGGTTAACTATTTTTCTCAGCACTATTTATTGAAGAAACTAGACCCTGTTAAGAATACTTCATTAAATACCAGTTAATCATACACATGTGTCCATTTCTGGGCTCTCTGTACCACTGACCTGTGTGTTTTTATGCTGATACCATATTCTTGTAATAGAGTTTGAAGTCATAAAGTTTTATGATGTCTCAAGTTTTATTCTTTCTCAAAATTGCTTTAGATTTCAAAATTACCACAATTAAAATAATGTTAACTTGTATATATTATTATAACAGAATTGTGTCTAAAAAATATATGCTCACATTAAACTTAGTATATCATGGTTAAGAACAACTATTTAACTCTTTAATGAATATGTGGGGCCCAATGATTTGTAGAAAAACTAAAATTATATAGCTCTACTTCTTTGCATGTTCAAATATGTTCTAGATGGGTTAGAGATCAAAACATTAAAAATAGAAGTTTTATTAATTGTCACAAGAAAATATAGAAGACTATATGAAATTATAGAGGAAACATTAAAAACTTGGGTGACTTGGGACTATGTCACAATTGATACTTGTGTTGAACAAAGGTTATCATAAATATATCTGTTAACATCACAAATACACTAAAAGATGTTGCAAGGTATAGAAGATCAGTACTTAGAATATATACTTCTTAAAATCTACAATGAGAAAAAGCCCCTAAATTCAATATAAAATAAAGTATAGTGATGGATAATTATATTTCTAATGACCTTATTACCTTAAGTGTTGGTATACAAATCATTAACATTGTATGAAATGCAAAATAATATTGTTTCCATGTTGGAAATACAACAGTAAAAAAGTTAACACTTTCCTCTAATGGCCATTACATTCCAGAGTGTGCATGTGAGAATTTGTGTGCATACTGTGTGTGCATGCACATGGGAGGAGGGTGTAGAGGAGCTAAATAAATAAAATTTGAGATACAGTAATAGCAGTAAATGCTATCAACAGAATGATGTGGTAGAGTGTGACAGCAATGAGGGAGTAGGAGAAAGGTCACCTGAACAGAAACCTGAGTAGACAGAAGTTGTCTGATGAAACGGTCACAAGCACTCCAGCATCAGACTTAGCACAGGACTACCATCTATTATTGGCATATCAAAGAGATCAGACTTCTTTGTTGTATCACGTTTTCACTAAAAATACAGCACTTATGAATCCTAGTAAATATTATCCAAATGTTACTGCAATAGAGTCCTGTTTTTTATCCAAGTTTTAAATGTGTTTCAGACATATAAGGAAAGTAATATAAACACGATACTTCCTGAACAGATATGCAATCCAATATATTCTCCACATAAAATTCATGTTTGATCGTTGCATTAATTAAAAAAAAACCTTAAAATAACTGCACTGGGAAAATTATTATGTAAGATGAAGTAAGAAATTATAATAAAATGAATTTTCGGCCCTCGCTGGTGGCGCTGCAGGTTAAAGCACAGCACTAAGAAACTAAAGCCACTTCAGCTTGAGTTCAATCTCCGCCTGGGAGGTGACCACATGGCACAGCAGACCTCTCCTGACCCACCTGCTGCTCCCCTCAGCAGTGTACTTCACGGATCTGCCTGTTCTGCTCTCCACTCTATCTTGGGTGAAGCCACTCTTGCACCTCCGGCCTGTATCCCAGTTCTATATGCATAAATAAATAAATCTTTAAAAAAATGATTTTTCGCTGCCAATATAATCTTGGGTAGTGCAAACATGTACCTGAATATAATGCCGAAGAACATACAGAATCTCCCCATTTTGAGCTTTTTCAGACAACACTGAATGAAGTTTACCAAATGCTCTGGTACCAATTTCTGCATACAGAATAACCACTGGTGAGTTCTCCTTCTTTGTTGGAAACTTATGATCTCCTTTAAACAGATATGGCCTGGGCCTAAAATGAAAACAAAGTACATGAATTTTAAATAATTAGAAAAGAATTTAAATTTACTGTGATGACTGTGTACATACCTCCTACTGAATGATGAAAACAAGAAACTACAGTAACCTAAAACTGGTTTAAAATACTGTATTTTCCCAAGATTCACCACTTTTAAATAACAATGTTAGTACTTTGCAAATATTTTCTGTATATTAAAATGGATGTGATATATAAGAAAATGTTAGAAAAGATTTCTAACCAGCCGTATGAGTTGTTAAATATACGGTACTGTTTAATATATTAAAAACTCTAATACTTTAATACTTTTAAAAGTATAAAAATTCAGGCAGTAAAACATACACTGGTAGATACTATTCAGTGAAAAAATCATAATAAATTAATAATTTCTTTGTGACTTCCCATATTTATTTTTATTCAATACTGAGAAGAAATTGAAAAAAAGTTTGAATAACATAAAAATGAAGCAACTCTGTGTTATGGATTTTATTATTAATTTTTTATTTCCCAGGTATAAATTTAGTTTGTATTTAAAGCTCGTCCAAATTTATAGTTTTTTTATTTGAAAAAATTATTGACGTTCACATTAAGACATATATTCATATTTAGGTATCCTCTAAAATCAAAAGCTAATCAAAACGAAACCTTGAAAGTGCTTACATAGTTTAGAAAAAGGCTTAGACTACCAACTCAAGTATATGCATATTTTCAACAGACAATATATCTGTGAATATATATTTAAGGACGTTAAAAAGTCTCATTATAAGAAATGTCTGCTCTTTTAGCCTTCATCTCTTTTTATACACCACCGTTTTCGGTAGTGGTTATCACTAACTTACCTTGAAGAGGCCTTCTTCAGCAGCTTTTTAATCTCATTAATTTTACAGGTGTGTTTTTCATGGATAACCACAAACGCGCTGCAACCATCTGGCGGTGACTCATCAGCTGCAATCTAAGATTTCAGGGGTTTATATTTAGCTACTGTAGTTGATAATTACAATTCACATTTAAAAAACTAGCTCGTTACTCTGATTAAAATAACTCATCAACTACTATTAAGTTATTGCTCTAATTAAAGTGAAAACTATATACAGGCAGAATAAAATATTTTAACAAAATCAACTTTATAATATGAAATATACACTTCAAAGTTGTTGAAAAATTACATTAAATTGAAATTTTCATTACAGTTCATTTGAGTGGTGATTTGTTCTCAGAATTGCTTGATCCCAAATAATTATAAAGTTATGTAATGTATCCAATCATACAGTCATACTAATGATAATCAATGACAGACTATGGAATCAGGTATAAGACTGCTAATCTTTTTGAACCAAAGATATTCACAGTAAGATTATTAAATTGTGTAAATTTCCAACATGCTTCTCTGTCAACTCTAGTTTGGGTATTTGACATACCTGTTGAAACATCTCAATAGTTGGAGAGTATGCCCTCAGAGATAAAGCAAACTTTAAGAGATTGATATGTAAATTGTCCAAAAATTGTCCAGCTTTTTTTAGTATTAAGTTGTAATAAGAATAATCTGATTCTATAAAGAGAATTAAAAAGAAAACTACATTAGTAATTTGTATTCAACAACATTGGCACATCTCTCACCAAATGTATAATCATTAACTTGTGATCAGTGATGTCAAAGAAAAGTAAGAAAGATTTATGTTTAATTACTAACTTCATTTGAATATTCTGGTGAAACACAATTAGTCAACACATGGCCTGGTTAAAATCTATCTAGAAGATACTATCATTTCAGACCAGTCTGCAACATGTGGGCTAATACACAGTACAAGGAAGGATACAACAGAGGTCCTGCCTACAATCTAGAGAGAACTAAACAAGCACAAAGAAATAAAGAATAATGATCGTTAATAAATTTTAAAATGCATGTGTAAATAAATTCTACTGAGATTTCACACACATACATACACACACACACACACACACATATCCATTAGTAATCAGCACATCCAGAATATTTCAGAGGACAGAATTTGAATCAGGCCTTAAAGAGTAAGACAAATGTCTTGTCAGAACCAAACTAACTTGAGCTGCTGGCTCATTCCTCTAAACCCATCTCCAAAATCACCACTAAACAAAAAAGGATGAATTTAATTTAAAAACTCTTGGACACCCCTGGAAAGACAGATTACTGGGTGGAAGGGCAAGAAGACAATGGCAGCCTCGAGCTGAAGCAGTTTTTGTGGCCCAGTGTGGACGGTGCTCTTTCTCTTCTCCACACTGTGCCAGGTGTGGTCGTCTGTGGCACTGCCACTGTGTCAGAAAACTGCAACGTCAGGTACCACCGACTGGCTTTGGACATTCCCTGGTATCTCTTTCTCTTTTACATCCACGAGTAAAGAGAATAGAGTCCATGGAAACCCAGGTGAGTAGTCCCTGACAGAGAGACCCAGTTTTGCTGTGATCACTATGAAGGTTTTCTCTCATGTGGTGATGGATGTAGGATACAGGATTACTAAAAGGCTTAACTTGCAAGATCATCTCAATCAGGAGATGGCTACACTGGGCTATTTAGTTGCTATTTTAAAATAACTAAATCCACGTATATCAACTCACCTGCTCAGATGATTTTGCCCTTCCAATGTTCTTCCTGTATTTTCAACCTCAACTTTTTATTCAATTCTTACATACTGACACTTAGTACACATAAATCGCTCTCATCTTTAAAAAATAAACACAGCAGCTGCAGCAGCCTGCAGTTACTCATTCATCTTATTTACATCAGTCGGTCCTGAGACTTAACAATACTTAACCTCTTCTGATAATCTCTGATTATCCTGTACTTACACCTTAACCGTCTATAACTCTGATTATTACAACAGTGACATTGTCAAAATCATCAATTTTTCTCTTGTTGACATCTCAGTAGTCTGATTGCTTGACCTGTCTCCAGTATTTGATAACATCGATCACGCACCTCTACTGGCCCTCTGGCTTCCAAAGACGTCACATGCTCCAGGTGTTACTCAGCTCTGCGGGGCCCTTAGCCTCTGCTGGGGGCGCTGCTCCTGGCCACCCCTACACATTGCGGTGCCTCAGGCTTCCATCCAGGGCACGCTCTGTCTCCTCGTGGTGTAACGGCACTTTCTAAGTTTAATAACCCTCTTGATATGACCTAAATTGCACCCATCAACCCGCAGATTTTACCTAAACCTCACCTGCACATTATCAGCCCATGGAAATCTAACGGTGACACATCCCAACTGTGATCTCCTTACACCAATTCTGGTTTTAAGTGAGTTAGAAATGTCCTAACATCCTCTGATAATTCTTTTCACTAAAATCACTTTCACTGATCTAGAAACCATTGAAATTGTCAAGGACTTTAAGAATAGATCCTTAAGATGTTGAGCATATGGCGAAGTGAAAATAAATAGGGACTCTGGAGACAGGCAGACCTTTGCCGACATTCTGTGACAATAGGCAAGTTAGCTAATCTGAAATTATTTTTATAATACAATATACAAAAGGCCTTCACTTGCTGCACATAATATAAAGCATTCTCACTAAATGGCATAAAGGTAGCACTTGGCTTCAAAGAGTAAAATGTTCAGTGTTTACGACTTTAAACAAGTAAATCAAGAACATACTTCAATAAAGAGTATTTAGAGGGTCTCATTGAGATTCAACAGCTTGAACAGTTATAAGCAATGAAAAGATTTAAAATGTTTCTTCTAGGATAATGTCCTGAAAATAAATTCAGTAAAATCTGAACATTTAACTCACATTTAATATTAATATTTCATTCTTCAAGTATACCACCTTTTCTCTCCTCTAACTAGGTCGGCGCTGATGCAGCATATGCCTTTGCCTTTCACATTATGAATAAGTCTAGTAGAATTGTATTTTCAGTGTTATTAATTCTTACTTAATACAATTTCTTTCACATACCCCTCCCACAATATAAGCTTGAAGTATGTAAGTTTAGGTATTTCAAGTTTTTTAATAATCTGCCACCAGATTGTTCAAGCATGTCATTTCACTTAGATATAAAATATTCTGATATACAGAGGCAACTTAATAACAGTTCAAAATTTTCAAAAGTAATTTTCAAGAATGCCTCTCCAGTGAAAAGTAGCCTGAATACTGTACCCCTGTTCTGTATGCATACAGATTTTTTTAAATCTTTTTAAAAAATGGCCTGAATAAGTATGTTTATGAGAACAAGAGATTTGGAGATATTTGGATTTTAGATGTGAACCAGGAAATCTGATATTGAATTTTTTAATTATTGTGATGATCTGACATATTCATCTAGCCTATTTTAACTGCACTTATCAAAACTAAAATACATAGTCAGCAAGCAATTTCCCACTGATTTGAAAGGCGACTTCTCAGTGGTCGAAGCTGTTCTGAACATTCCATTTCTCTTTCCTGCTCTTCTTCCCCTCCCTACCACCTGGTAAATCCTATCATTCAAACTCAACACCAGCATTCACCTGGAAAGACTGTCTTGCTTCTCTGAAATACTTATAAGGCACATTTTTATGCAAGCCCATGTGATGCATTTTCCTTCTGAAGCTCTTATCAACTAACAGTATGCTTATCTCTCTGCCTATCTTCATTATAGTATGGGGTCTGAAGAACACAGGTCACGTATTTATTCATCTATGCATTCCCAGCATTTATAGCAGGACACAGCACTTCATGCGACTCAATGATTAAATAATTAAACTTCTCAGAAGTTTTCTGAATGAGCAAATTATTTGTTTTTGAAAATATTTCAGTGTAAAATGGCATTAAGAGCATGTCTGCTTTCTTCATCTTTAAAACCATCTCATAAAATGCTAAAGCTACTTAACTCTAACACCACTTGGGCCAAATAGGCTCTAGTAAATGAAAACTTAAAACATTCAAAACTGGGCCTTCAAAGTTAATGCTCAGACTTATTAACCCAATAAACCATTCACATCTAAGTTTTACCATTAAAAACAACAAAAATACCCAATGCATACACATATAAGTAGAAATCTTGTTTAAATATGCACTTCACCTACCTGTTTGCTTATAAATTGCTAGTTCCTTTACAGTTTCCAAAAATTGCCAGAATTTTTCATTACTTTCTTCTGCCACAAATTCACTATTAAAAAATAAATAAAAATAATCAGTTCACATATGGAAATAAAGATTGGTTTAGATTATGCTAAACTATATGCTAGAAACAAACTATAAATATAAAATCACAATCACAGAAGACAGCATTATGAACTGCTTTGGCCTTTCCGCATTATTAGCTACAATTATAATTTGGAGTAATGTAAGCTAAGGGAACGTAGGGCAATATATAAAGGTAAGAAGTGAAAATTAGACTGTTATTCATAAACAAAACTGGTCTATAAACACTTTAAAAATCTTAATTAAAAATGTTATCTATTATTTTTATTTAGCCATTTACTTGTATAGACAATACTTCTATTATTTAAAACAGTTTAATAAAATAGTAATGGGAATTTGTTGTATCCTATTAGGTTCTGGGCTATAAAATCCAAAGAAAGTTTCATTTTCCACAGGGGAAAAAAAAGTCATTTAAAACATTTTGGAAATAATGATTAAGTGAAGGATTATTTACTCATGTGTAGAACAATTTATTACACAACAAGAGCAAGTAGATTTATACTAGAAAGTAAACAGTCACCAAATTCTTCCTAGTTGCCACCTTATCTTTCTCTCCAATTTGATAAACTTTAGTGCTTAAATGTAAATGGAAAGTGCTGAGAGCATCCAAGACACAAGCAAAATAATTCTTCTAAGCATAAGATGATTTCCTAAAGGTGGAAAGGAGGTGAGAGAAACCGAATCTTTTATCAACATACACATGACAAGCATAGGAATGTAGAGTAATAACTTCAAAAAAGCTCTTGCTCTTAAAGTCGCCCAGCTCAAGGCTAGAAACAGAATCAACAATGGGCAACACTACACAGGATGTGATCTAAGGAGGGGACAAAACCTTAAGAGAACACTCAACACCAAACTGACTGGACTGAGCGACAGGTGAGACGTCGTCCATATTCCAGATTTTAAACATCTAAATATAATCCTTTCGAATGATCACTTTAAGAGAGTTTTCACATTTAATTCCCTCAATAAATCACAGCTGCAAGCACTTCTGGTCCTCTTCTGGAACTACTTTCAGGGGCAATTTGCCAGTAACTCATCACTAATCTTAAGGGAAGAAATATCCTTGAGAGACTATTTTTAAATCAGTTCCTCACCTTCCAAAAGATATTACCTTTGGTCAAAGTGTTAAAAGGGAAATGGCCAAAAAACTGGAATTTCCAAATTTTTTCACCTGACTTATATAACTTTTAGCTCCAAATAACAACATTTCAAAAAAAAAAAAATTCTACCATATGGAATAAAAGTAATTCTTTTCTTTTAAAGATTTATTTATCTATGCATACAAGAACTGGGGTATGCCTGAGGTGTGGGGTGAAAGGATTTACCAGAGTGGGAAGCAGACCAGACAGATCAACTGAAATACGCAGCAGACAGGTCAGGAGAGGTCTGCCACACCATATGGGCTCCCTCCTTGTCTGGGAATTGAACTCCTGCTGCAGTGGCTTAGGAAAGCTTTGTGATGCTGTGCTTTAACCCACTGCCCCACCAGGGAAGGCCTAGAAAGAAAAGTATTTCTACAGAGAATGTTTCCATATGAACTAAGAGCATGACAGTAATCACAAGTGGATTTCCAAAACATATTTTTCAGCAAAAATAACATCAGGAGAATAAATCAGTTTCCATATTTAAGTAACAGTACATGTGTCATAAAAATTTAGCCTCATAGCCTATAATCCTACCTAGCACAGTACTAAATTATAAATTTCTTTAGGTAGGGAACATACCTTATTCATCTCTTTTTCCTATACAGTATTCAGCAGGTGTCATGCTCAATACAGTCACTAAGTTTTAGGCTTAACTGAAAGAGACATATGACACATAAATGTGTGTGTGCGTGCACCTGCCTGTATATGGGCGTGTTCCCAACAATGCTTTCAAGAGAAGACAAACAACTTCCCAAACAGAACTCTATCACTGAAGTTTGTCTCCCATTGCCTCGAATCTAACTACAGCGCTTCAGCTCTTCCTCTTCTATACTTATTTTCCTCAACCTCTTTGAGTTTCCAGAAATTTCTATTTAAAAGAAATATTACAAAATTCTCAAGAGTGGATATAGAGAAACAAACTTCAAGATAATAAAGCCCACTTTGGACAAGTCCACAGCTAGTCACTATTAGATGGCATATTATAGAAAACTAAGGAATACAACAAAAATTTAGAATAAGTGAATTCAGAAATGTCAGAAGATACAAAATCAACATAAAATCTGTTGAACTGCTATATACTAAAAATAAAATACCAGAAAAATTAAGAAATCAACTCCACTTAAAATTGAAGCACAATGAATATAATAAATTTAACCAAGGAAGTGAAAGATCTATGATATGAAAACTATTAAAGCACTGGCAAAAAACTGAAGATGACACAAATAAATGGAAATATAGTCTGTGCTCGTACATTGGAGAAATTCCTCCTGTTAGAATAGCCAAACTACACCAAACAATCTATAGACTTAGTGCGATCCTTATCAAAATTCCAATGACATTTTTCACAGAAATAATCATAAAGTTTATAACTACAAAACAAAAACACCTCATCAGCCAAAGTATACTTAAGAACAAACCAGGAGGGGTCCTCTCTGCTGGCCAAGGGGGTTACCTCTCAGCACCACTCAGCATCTCAGCATGAATTCAAACCTTGGCCAGGGTGTGACCCATCAGGCCCAGCAGACCCCTCCTGTTTTCAACGCTGCTCCCCCCAGCAGTGGATTTCAATAGATCCACCAGTACTGCTCCCCCTCTGTCGCTGGTGAATCTTCCCCTCCCTCCCTCCACAGCTCTGGCTGACACCCCAGTTCTTATATGCATAAATAAATCTTTGAAAAGAGATAATAACTCAAAAAATATATATGCATCTCCATGTTCATTTCAGCAACAGCTGAGCTGTGGATACACCCGAGCGCCCATGTGAATATTATTTAGCAATTAAAAGATATTGTCATTTGTGAGGAGGTGAATGAATATCTTTAAGCTAGGAAGACAAAAACCTACGATCTAAGTTCTATGTGTGTGTGGGGGGGGGGGGGGAGAAGGAGACAACGAACCAAAACGAGGGCACGGATCAGAGAACAGATTGGTGGTAGGTGATAGGGAGTCACAGTCTAACTATAATTATACAGTACTACACAGTTAACAGCTCTGAGCCAATTTCAAAGGTGATGAGTGTTAAATCTTAAAAAAATCCTCATCAGGGCCCTCCCTGGTGGCGCAGGGGGTTAAAGTACTACACTAAGAAGCCTAAGCCACTTCCGCATGAGTTCGATCCCCGCCTGCCCCAGAGGTGACCACATGTCACGGCAGACCTCTCCTGACCCGCCCACTGCTCCCCTCAGTAGTGTGCTTCGTCCATCTGCCTGTTCTGCTCCCCGCTCTGTCTCTGGTGAAGCCTCTCACCCTCGCATCTCTGGCCTGTACCCCAGTTCTGTATGCATAAATAAATCTTTAAAAAAAATCCTCATCATAAGGACTATTATCATTACGTATGGTGATGGATATCAACCAAGCTTACTAGTTACAAACATACACTGGGTTGTGTTGAACACCCGAAACTCACATGTTATGCACTACACCCACCACGATTTTTTGTTTAAGAAACTATTTTGTGGCTAGGATACAAATGCAAAGTAAAGCGTGGCGATGGGGTCACTTTTTAGGAATAGAAACTGTTGCTTTGGTGAACTGGCAAAGGGGAACAGCGTTCAACTTCACGCAGGCTAAAGAACCTGCACATTTTAGCTACTGGACTACTAAAAGTAAAGTGCAATGGCTACAAGTTTTGTTTCCACACAGAATCTGATAATATCTGATGAGAATTCCAGTGGAAGAAACACGGGAAAAGTTACAACTTGTAGGATGCTGCCTAGAAGCCAACATCCATTGAGGTGCTGGCCCAACGCCACACGGGACCCCACAGTCTTCTCTTTCATCAATGTCATCAATGCTAACCAAATCCAAGTGTTGAAACACAGGGCGACCCCCCTCACCCCCCCATTTTCGAAGCCCCATGTGAGAGTGTTTACTGCGAGCAAAGGCAAAGCATGAGATCGCGGCTGGGGGTGTGAAGGGCTGGTCAGTGGGGGACAAGGGCAGGCGCCCCGCGGGGCCGAGGGGAGGGTACCTGGGCAGCGGGCCAGATGCGGGCAGCGCTGCGGGACTCCAGGCGCCGTCAGGTCCCGGCGCCCCCTAGCAGCCCCGCGGGGCGCGCCCCGCACCCACCTGGCCTCCAGCAGCAGTGGGGTGTCCGGCCACTTCGCGGCCAAGTGGGCCGTCACCGCCTTGGACGCCAGGGCCGTCCGGGCACCCAGCAGCCACAGCCACAGCCATGGCGCGGTGATGCCCAAGAGCAGTCGCAGCACGTCGGCGGCCTTCGCCATCGCGTGGAGATGGAAGCGCGAGCGCCCGGCTCCGCCGCCCGCCGCCACGCCACAGTAGCCGGCTCCTCCCGGCGCGCCGCCGCCCACTTCCGGTGGGGGGAGCTCGAGTCCGTTACTCTGGGCCGGCGGCTGGGCCGCGCGCATGCGCGCTCCGTCGGGGACGGACTGGCTGGACCCCGAGTCACGTAGCGGGCGGGCTGCGCCCAAGTGCCCAGCGGCTTGGGCGAAGCGCCGCGGCCGCCACTGGGGCGCCGGGGCGTGGAGGGGGCTTCCCGGCCCCCCAAACCCGGTCCAAACTGGGGTTGTGACTCCCTGAGGCTGGCTGGGGTTGGCAGAATTTAGAAGCCAAGGCAGGAGCCAGAGTGGCCATCACTGACAAAGATGAGGCCAATGGAAGGGTCTAATCCCTACCCCCCGGGATCCTCATTTATTAAAATCCTTATTTTCCAACATTGATTTGTCATTGACACAACTATATAGTACTGACATTATTGACATCACAACGTCACACCTGCATGCTTCATTTGGATTTTGTGGTTTGTTTTTTGCATATGAGAGTCACCTGGTGCGGTTTTTAGAAAGCCGGGTGCTCAGATCACAACGCGCACCATTTACAGGAGAATCCTGTGGGGAGAGTGGGGGAGCTTTGGGCATCAATCTTTGTTAACGCAACACCTCGAGTGTACATCATCTTTTAAAAGCAGTGGCAGCGCCTGGAGGGTTGTTAAAACGCAGGGATGCTGAGTCTTAGCCCAGTTTTCTGATTCAGTAGGTCAGGGATTGTGCATTTCATGCAAGTTCCCCAAGGTGCTGACGCTCTGGCGGGGAACTGCTCTCTTAGCCTTTCTGCGCAGAAGGGGTACACCGAGCAGCAGCTCAGAATCGGCTATGGGCTTGTCAGAAATGCAGGTTCTCAGGCTCCAGCCCGGACCCACTAAATCTGACTCCCTCGGTTCGCAAAACTCCTAGGTGATATTTGTGGCATTGGAGTTTGGGAGGCACTGGTTTAGCGGATTACACGTGAATCACACAGCTGTGACTGAGTCTGGACTTCAACTGAAGCCTAACCTCAAACTTTATGTGTTTATGACTCAGACTCAAAGACAAAACCTTGCCACAGGTTTAGCTGTTTTTCCAGAACGTGTGATTCATCAAATTAAAATAGCCCTTTAAAAAAAAAAAAGATTTATTTATTTGTACATACAGAACTGGGGTACCGGCCAGAGGTTCAGGGGCGGTGAGAGGCTTCACCCGAGACAGAGTGGGGAGCAGAACAGGCAGATCGAAGAAGTACACTGCTGAGGGGAGCAGCGGGCGGGTCAGGAGAGGTCTGGTCTGCCACGCCATGTGGTCACCTCCGGGAATAGAACTCATGTGGAAGTGGCTTTAGCTTCTCAGTGCAGTGCTTTAACCCACTGCGCCACCAGGGAGGGCCATAAAATAGCCCATTTTTTTAAACTAGAACATCACGATTCCCGTTTCTACTCAGGAATAGTATTTTCTCTGCTCAGAGAGCAAATTTGTTATAAATACTAAAATATATGGTAAAGAGAAGCAGCAGCTGTGAAAAAGTCGAGGCTGCACAGATCCATTCCTTTTTTATCTTTTATCCCATGCCCCGTGGAGAACCCAGATCTCTCGAAGTTCCCCAAACACGGTCACTTTTCTTTGCCATCTCCCCTCCTTTGCTTGGTATATCGCCTTCCTTAGCAGAGGCCCTGCTAAGGCCTCTGGAAATTCTACTCAGAGCTCACTTCCTCAGTGCAGCCTTCATTTCCTGATTTCTCCTACTCGCTCTATCTATCCCTCTTTTAAATTTCCATGAGCACTTTTTAACTGTCACATACCACTTACCAATTCTCAGTTTAGAATTTGAATACTATGCTTCTGTATCCTACTGGAAAGGCTGTATTCCCCGAGGGCTCATGCCTTATTCATTTGTAACATCTCTTGCAGTACCTAGCACAATACATGTTATTGGGGCTCAATAAATATTAAAGAGTCCTTGTTTTATGGCGAGGTAGGCAGAAAGCCAAGGCAGATGAATGAAGAGCTTCCTTTCGATCCATGGAGCATAATCGAAAAATATATTATGAATCTATCACAAGCATTGCTTTAATTAACTCCTCATTATCACTTCTACTGAATTTTTGATTGAAATTGTGGGATGAAGGAAATAAAATATTGACAATGAATGTCTTGAATGCCAGTATATGTGATGGATAACAAATCTTCAAGAAATAATGTATAATATGGAGTCATATAAAATGCACTATTAAAGGGCACTGTGATATGCATTGCATTATGTTTGAGTTCAGAATAGTGAGGAATGCCACATTTCTCTTTTAAAGGGAATGAAATCAATTCAGGATTCTTTTTTTGCATAGTTATGTATTTTAGCTTATATGGTATTTCTTGAGAGATTTAAGTGGGTTTGAAATGTTCTTCAGGCTACTCATCCTTGGGCTTTTTGCTTATTTGCAGAACAAAAGAAGGAACAGGAGTTGATGACATTTAAGCATTAGAGGAAAGCATCAGGAAGATGGGTCCAGAAGCTCCACCCAGGGAGTCAGAAGCTCTTCATTCCCTCCATGTCCTTGAAATGTGCATTCGGCCCACTGTCCCCTATGATAAGAGCCCTTTCAAGGACCCTGATTTGACAAAGTAATGTGTTAGTAAAATCAGTGTTACTATATACGTGTCTGAACCCCATTACGTTCTCTCAGGTCTTCTGATCAGGCAGGTGGATAAGAAAATCTGCTGTCTTGGTACAGCTCAAGACTAGTCTTGTAAGTGAGTTTCCTTGCTTAAGGAAACTGCCACTTATTGATATGATATAATCTGTCCTTACTTTGGTCTCTCCTTCCTTCCGTGTGTGAGGCCAGTTTCAGATTTCACCAGGGGAAGCACCCTAAGTTCCAAACCAACATTAAGGTGGTTTCTGCATGTCATTTCCAAGTACAGATAGAAAAACTAAAATGCAAAAACTGAGTAACCCAGCAAAGGTCATTCAAGTTAGTAGAGCAGCAAAGTATTCCAACATCCATTATCAATAATCCTCTGGCACAGATTGGTATGAACTGAACATAGTTCAGGGACTCAATTCTACTTTAACATTTCTTAGCAAAATGTTATTTAAAGTTATTCACATTAGAGTTATATGAATGAAAACTGATGATGATAGCAGTTTTCATTGTGTATGGGAAAAATGATTAATGAGTGCTTTATAATAAGAGATAGTATTTAATAGAATAAATCATCTTGCATTTTTTGGGTACGGCATGGACTATATTTATATAATGAAAATAGGGGTGCTGTGTGAGGATAAAATGACTACAAAATTATCATGTAATGTAATAACACTTTAATTTTCTTCACCTAAATAAGCTTCACAGCTGAAATGGCTTTTGAAAATATGACCCTGTAGGTCTCCATATTTCTCTTACTTTAAGAAAGACCCTATTCTTATTTTTTATTTGAACTTTTAAATACAAAAGGTGTCCTATTCTTCACTCCAAGTGGAAAGAATTTGTAGACATATGTAACATATTATATTTCTACTCCTTAGACAAGATTATGTATACTAAAAATCATAATCAAGTGAGTCATGGTTTAGTTTGTCTAAGTATCTACATGTTTAAAATTTTATAAGTTTGCATATTTCACTTAAAGTGTATCACAAATGCCTTGCATGTGTTCTAATGTCAGGTATATTTGATACAGTTTTTGTAGTGGAAATTACAATAGTGACTTTCAAATAGCAAATTGTGAGAAATAATTTTTAAAAATAATTATTTGGGATGACATAGAAATTAAAAACTGCTAATTAATCACATCCTTTTATACCTACATACTCAGTCAGTATTTTACAATGTGTTAAACGGTTGCTAAGTTGCTGTTCTGTGGTTTCTAGTATTTTGGTAATTCAACAAACCCAGTAGGCTAGAAATATGTTACTGGAAACAAAGAAACATATATTCTGGTTTTATGTTTTCTAGTAACATAAAGTTATATCCACAGGTACATTGATTCATTCAAAATAAAAAGAAGATGACTATCCTATCATATGTTGGGACAGAATACTGAGATGGAACAGTCAAATGGTTAAGATCTTCAATGGACTTCAGCATAGTAAGGACATAAGGACACATACCCACATAGTATTTAAAAAGTGAAGTCCATTCTTCTTCTGGAAATCCAGAAGACAGAAAATCTGGCATGATGATGAACAGCAAAAATAAACATGTGTAGAGTGGCTACTTTATATCCTGCAACGAGATCTCAATCCTGAAGGAACTCAATTGTTTCATTGGTAGTCCAGTGTGAACGAGTAAATTCTAATGAGAAGTTTTACGTGATAGGAGCTAACGGACTGTTACATCAAATCAGGACAATTAAAGGGAGAGTCAGTCTTAAGAAAAGCCTCATAGAATCGAGGGTATAATTGTGCTTTGAAGAATAATGACTTATTATCTATAGTTTATGACTAATTGTAATATGAATGCACTCACAGACAATGGCAGATGAGGGAATGCAGCTATGCTTCCAAAAATGTATTTATTGACAATAAAGTTCACATTTCACATATCATGAAATTTTCTATTTTAGTGAAATGTATAAAAGCAATTCATAACCGCAGGTTATACTTATTGCCAATCTTTGCGCTGAAAAATTTTGTAGGAAACAGGACAGCTCATAGAATTATTGTTCATAATAACAAAAAGCTGGACACAGCTCAATTGTCTATTGAAATAGATGACAAATAAATGATGGTATGTCCATTCAATGGAATACTAAGCAGCAGTGATAGTAAATGGGTAATCAATAAATGACGCTATAGATAAACATGAATCTCAGGAGCATAACGTTAGTGAAAAAACAAACCACATAGAATACATAAACACAGGGATTCAAAAACAGATTTTACTAATGATAGAACCTTTAGGGACATGTGCATAGGACAACTAGTGAAAGCAAGGAAACAACACAAAGTAGAATATATTGATGAGCTGTATGGGGGAGAGGGGAGAATCTGATATCAAATTTTTTTTTAAAGATGTATTTATTTTATGCATACAAAACTGGGGTACAGGCCAGAGGTACAGGGTGGTGAGAGGATTCACCACAGACAGAGTGGGAAGTAG